TACGTGCTACTAGATTTCCTAGGGTTTTCATGTGTAATGAGGAATCTAGTAACCTGCAGTGTCCTTTTTCCGTGCGATTTGTGTCAAATTCCAAAAACTCTCCTCAGATTCTTCCAGTGCTCCCATTCCGTGGCCGCCAAAAGTTCTCGGATTCGGAACTTTTTTGTTCCGATTTCTCCCATTCCATGACCGTCGAAAGTTCCAGGATTCTTTTTTGATTTTTCCAAAATTTCCGGAAAATGCAAAAGATCCGGAACATTTCGGAAATTTCAAAAGTTCCGGGAAAAATTCAGGAGAATCTCAAAAGTTCCGAAACCCGGCACTAATTCCGGGTAATGGGGGCACTGGATTCTTTGTTCGTATTTTTCCGTGAAAAACCCCGAAAAAACTGCTGTTGAGAACCGTTGCTCGTGAATGAATTGGCTCCTCACGGGTCTATTCATTTAGATAGGACAGAGTCCATGTTTCGAGAGTGACGTGCACTAATTAGTCCGGACTCAAAGAAAGGATGCGCAAGGTCGCGGCATAAGGGGCTCGTTCCTCGCACACTTCGTTGACGTCAACTTTTCCATCGGCCGGCCGCAGCCGTCAAGCTCCAAGTACCCTGAAGATCCTCTGTGATCGGTAAAAATATGACGTCATCCCTCAACGGTTTTTAACGGCTCTCGGATGATGCCCAGCTTGGCTCTGCGGGTCAAGGACGCGATCTGTTTTCGCTAGTAGCGTTTGTCTTCAAACATAGCATCGTTTAAATGTCATTAAGGAGCAAACTCCTATCACCTGGTCATAAACAGCACTGCATTTGCGACTTAGTCCGTATTGATTATTTTTACTCAACTTTATGAACGGACAGAAGATCACCTGGACGACTGCCCAAGAGATGGGCACACAACCAGCCTTTTTCTGTAGATGATGACATGTGTTTAGTGCTGTTTATATTTTCATTGGTTTGACGATCCTTCATACTCATTGGTGATTTATTTATGTGTGCTCGTTAAGAGCATTTACCGACAGGCCCGTGCCCTAGTCGTCAGTAGAGGAAGTGGCTTCCTTTGCACTCCTAAGAACTTGTCGCCATGCTTCCGATAACAAGGAGCAACAAAATGTTTTTCTTATAAAAAAAATCAAAGAAATAAATAGAATAACAACAAATGAAAAAAAAAAATACAAAAAATCTTAGGCATGGGGTGAAGTTTTTCTGGCGTACCTTGATCTCCTGAGTCCAAAAATATCCTCCATTTTTCACTAACTTTCATACCACTGTTATGAGATAACGAATCCAGTCCAAGAATGGCATCCCTTTCTCTAAAATCAATAATACATTCTAGAGAACTCGTCAATAAAGTTCCGTCCGTCAGAAGCAGTTGGTCTCTTTACGTTGAGAATCAGCAGGCATGATAATAACAACAGAGTCGCGTTACATGGTTTTTTCAATGTCTTGAAAGTACTAAAGTACCTTAGTGTTTCGTGGGTAAAGTTTAATCAGAAACTTATTTGGACGTATTTCTATCAAATGGAACTATGTGCATTATGACGTGATACCTGTTATGCACATATTCTTATGGGTCTCAGGGCTCATGGCAGAAATACTTCCATTTCAGAACTTACAAAATTCAGGCCGGCTTTTTCTATTGAACGAGGGAAAGAAAGTTTATCGATTGGCGTGATTTCTACGTGCAAGAGACCCTTTAATGTTTCATCGCTTTGGTCATCAGTCACAAATAGGTGGAACTATGAGCATGGATTTCCATTTACTAGTAACTCGTAACTTTTACATTATAGGAAATATACTGAAGGGGCACCGATTGCAACAAATTGCGATTACAAAGTTAAACTATTGCAATTGCACGGCAGTGTTGTGTAATTTGCCTATTTAAAAATTGAAGGGGCTTCTCTTATTGAGATTTATCGTAATAAAATTGAAATAAGATCCGATTTTTTGCGTTGCCTCACCTTTCTCGCACATGGAACTCAGTTTGTCGATTGTTTAAAATCGGCGTTCATTAAATGATGTAAAAAATATTGCACCTATGGTAAATAAAAATGCAATTTTAGCGCCATAAATAGCAAAATTATCTCAATATTTTTGTTGCATTGTGCTACTTGAATACAGGGTCTGTATACTGTATTTGTGTCTGGGCGTGAAATGTTCCCACTATCTATCGTCTTCAATGATGATGCTTGCGAGAAATTTTGGTTAAATCGTCGCTCCTCCAACGTAAGGGCGTATCTCAATTCCTGGATGAGCCCCAGAAAGCATGGTTTCATACGTAAAACAGGGATCACCGGAAATTGAGATATTTCCTTACGTCAACAGTGGATCGAATCAATTAGAGAGGTCAGACAAGGTATTTTTTACTAAAATTACAAATTTTTATGTTCATTTCGTCACATTTTAAACATTAAAGAGTGCTCCAAAAAGAAAATTTCACGAGGAAACCAGTGGAACCAATTTTAGAACCTTAACCTTTGTATAAACTGAGTTATGAACGTTTTAAGTTTCCAAATTTTGTCCAACTTCTTCTATTGACTTGATCCACTGTGCGTCAGAGGGACGACAGTGGCGTGGCGTGCTTTGCGATATATTGATTGTCATGGCATTTAAACCTATGGAAAAGGATCGATAAACTGGGTGTTTGCAGCGAACACCTTAATAATCGATTCTTTACCATAGGTTTAAATGGCATAACAATCGATATATCGACATTCACGCCACGCCACTGAGGGACGACGGAATGGATGGTCAAGCGGTGGTGGTGATATCTATTTACAGCCTGTACCCCGTGTTCCTCTCATTTCATTTACATATTTTGGGCAGATTAAATTGTTACCTATATCTATCTATCTATCTATCATAGGTGTAAATGAAGGGAAACCGGTGTTGCCAAATTGCTGGATCGGCCTCTGCTCTCGTTTGTCAAGCGTAGCGCCAAACCGTCATCACGCAAATCGTAAAATTGTTATGGTGACGAATCAAGCAGAACATCGGTGTGTGATACGCCTCTTGTCTCATCACGGGCGTTTTATTACACCTGTAACTCTTTTCGCTCATGATTCGGCCATAAAACCCTGCGTTTTGCCGAGCGGGTTAAATGCCATTCGATCAGCGTGAGGAAACGCGGATCCTTATTCATACGCTTTTTCTTTTCTCTCCGATCCTCACTCGACGCGCCGCGCCAACGTGTCTGATGAACCACCACCGCTTGACCATCCATTCCGTCGTCCCTCAATGGTGTGGCGTGAATTTGGATATATCGATTGTTATGCCGTTTAAACCTATGGTAAAGAATCGATTATTAAGGTGTTCGCTGCAAACACCCTGTTTATCGATCCTTTTCCATAAGTTAAAATTTTCATGCAAACGTAAAATTGCTCCTGTAATGCACACTGGCGTGCTGCAACACTCAAACGCCACATATGCGTATCCTTTCAGAGGTTATCGGGCAACTGACACCGCAACATCTCTTCATCAACGCCCTGCCGCCATCCCTTTACGGGACGTTCCAGTTGCCTCTTTTTGCCCAGAAATTCCAGACGAAAATGTTCATCAGATAATAATAGATTTATGAATAAACTATTAATTTAAGCTCTTCCTTCTTAAAACTAATATATATATTTAGAATAAAATTCATGGTTTCAACTCTATAAAACCATCCTGACTTCTGAGCTCTCCGATAGAGCCATTGCATTGAAAGTAGGCAAAATACCGAACTTGGACGACTGCAAAGAGACACCTGGTCAAATAAGGATAAATGCATCTCAGTAGAGGCAAATGTCACTCTAATTCATAAGCCAACTAATTACCCTCTGATGGAAGCTCCCTTTGTTCACAGATTTTTTATCAATTTCATGGTAAGTGATTCTCAGTGTTGCGGTAGGCAACGATTTTATGAAAGCCTTATAATGTATGGTTTTCTCTATATATTTAGCAAGCTGGACACTTAAGCAATTCAAATGAATACAATCAATATCACTAATTGGATTTTGACGTAGCAGCATTGGTCTATCTGAATAAAGCGTTTCGAAAAAGAACTTCTCTGTTTTAGGAATAAAGGATAAGTGTCTGTAAAGGCCTTTTTTTTTGCTCTAAAATTTGTCTCAAACTTTAAAAACGCAAAAAAATTGTCTACATAGCTGGCTAATTTTACTTTTTACAACATTACACTGATACCCTGGCTTCGTCTTCAAGTTGTATTGTATGATAAGGGTGGTGATCAGTGAGCGAGTCTTGGTCTCTCGGCGTTTTGCCCCTAAAAATAGATAAGAAATATAAAATTTTTAGCTTTTGCTGCAATTTAGCCACGAGCGAAAATTTGCCCTGTTTTTTTATTTGAATATTTTATTTCTTGTGATTCACTCAATATAATATTTAAATGAGAAAACTGGCCATTTTTTGCACATGGTTAGAGAAAAAAATTAGCTATTTTTATCGGAATTACCCTACTGTGAACACCAAAACTATGCGACACAACTTCAAACCTGAGCCAGAGGCGCAGAGTATTCATATTAAAAGTATAATTTTCCGCGTAGAAAGTATTTCCAGCACTTGAATGTTACAGTCAAAAAAAATCTCTACTGGAAAAACATTTTGATTCAGATCACGCGTCTTGAAAAGCATCTGTACCTCACATACGCTCGATTCCCCCGAGATCTAAACAACATTCTGATTTGAAATGTTGCTAGTGTATTTGCTGTAACTCAGAGGAAATTTACAGATTTTTTTGGAAGGTCTTGTAAAAAAAATAAACTCTGAGAGAAATTTAAGCAACGTGATATGTAGTTAAGCTGATTTTGGTTCATACCTACCGTCTAATAGGTGGATACTTTGCAGCACCCTTCAAAAGCAATTTAAGAACTGACAGGTTGAGAATCACTCACTAAAGTGCATAACGTCAAATGTACTTGACGCGCATACATGTTTACTCTAACGTGCACTTAATAACCCTATCTTGCAGCCATAACGGGCGCTCATCCTTTTTCTAAAGTCTGGCGCTATTCTCTTACTCATTACCATGACCCATGCGATCAGTTCCCATCGCACTCCTCTTTGATGATGCCAACTAGTGAATTCCCGTAGGTTTTCACTTGGACCAACTTTTTCCACTCGATAAGCAGGTGTGATTTGTTATTATGGTTAACTTATTCCTTTTGACCGCTTTGACCCTCGTGGGTCTGACCTCTTTGGTGCAGGTCAGCGGCCAACAACAACCTCAACAACCTCAACAACCTCAACAACCTCAACAACCACGCCGCCGGTTCGGACTTCCGACCCAAGCACCCCCAGCATGGGCGGTGACCATCTACAAGGACAAACTGGGCGGTGGCGACAGCGCCAATATGACTGGACCTGGTTGTCGCGGCGTCCCAGACGGATTCAATGACGAGATGTCGTCTCTCCGCGTAACTGCGGGCTGCGTCCAGCTCTTCAAAGATAAAGACTGCCAAAAACCTTTGGGGACTTTCACGGTCAATGACATAATGAGAAACGACAATCTCCAGGACAGCGGCTACAACGACGAAGTCTCATCGCTTGGCGATTGCGGCGCCCCACCTGCGCAGCCGCCAGGCGGGAAATGAGCGCTGAGAAGAAGATGAGTGCAATCCGTAGGTAGGTAAATAGGGTCTTTCACGTAAGTAGTCGCTTGACGTTTGTGTACGGGAAGTGCAGAGAAAAATAAAAATAAATCATCACCTTCATTTTTTTTTTGGGGGGGGGGGGGGCATTNGGGCATTCTCAAACTTATGCGTTACAAAGTTCCGCACTGAAAAAATATGGCAAATTTCACCAAAAGTATGTCGACGGTGATACTACGAGACCACGTTTCTTGTTTGTGCCGTTTAAACATATCCACTCCCATTTTATTATATTTTTTTAGGGAGAACATGTCAATATCATTCCTTCAAGGCTTCACAGAGTTTTTTTCGCTTAGAGAGGAAAAATCAAGGAAGTTTTCAAGAATTGAAGTTGAGTGGTTTTCCATTCACAAATAAAGTATGACAAGAAGTCTACGGCGTCACAAACCGAGATACGTGATCTGGTGATTCACCGTCGATACGATAAATCCTATCATTACCCATAGTTTTGTTTTTTGACACAGTGACACTGTAGCATGGGGACCTTTAGACATCTAGTAGCATATTCCATAAAGTCGGTGGATTCAGTTAGAGTTATACAGTGTAGATTTCCTACATAGCTATTTCATAGCAGAGGCTGTGAGGCTGCTATCGCAGAGTTATTACCATTCTCATATCACCGTGCCTTAAAACGTGCTGCTTTGCGAAGTGCGCTTTTTTCCCCAATGTTATTTTAAAAGAGATTAACGAATGGAAAACAGGAGCCGCTAAAGTTTACAAAGAGGAATGTATAAATTCTGAGCTGCACTCATGAGGGTGTATCATGAAAATGCGACGTAGGAAAAGTAGATCACCCTGAATTAAAACTTAGTTAATACCTCAGTTTTGTGCTGTTTGATGTATGTCAGAAGAACAGAAGATTATCGGAAAAACCATAAGTGTGTACGCCATTCTTATACGTCACAAAAGATCAAAATTCTACCAAAGGAAAAATAAAATGTAAGTATAAATGTAATAATAAATGTAAGTATGGTCATCAGCAAAAATCCAATACGATGTAAGCTAGTCGTGGACGGTACCGTAGTTGAACAAGTAATGCAGTTTAAGTACTTGGGCGCTTTAATAACGAGTGTGAAGGATTTAGGGACCGAGGTGCGGAGTCAGACAATCAAGGCAACTAGAGTAGCCGGATGCCTAAATGAAATGGTTTGGAGGAATAAGTACATGGCTAAAGAGAGCAAAGTTCGAGTTTATAAAACGGTTGTAAGACCTGTGCTGACTTACGCTGCGGAGACCCGAGCGGACACGAAGCGCACTAAACAACAGTTGCGGACCGTAGAAATGAAAGTCCTGAGGAAAATAGCAGGCTTTACGCTCCGAGATAGGCAGACCAACGAGTCAATTCGCGAAGAGTGCCAAATTCAAGATATTGCCAAATGGACCAAGATGCGCCGGAAAATGTGGTCGGAACATGTTGAGAGGATGGAGGGGGAAAGGCTTGCCAAGATTTGTATGGTAGGACGACCTCATAGCCAAAGGCAACCCGGACGACCGCCCAAGAGATGGGCACAGAGCTGCCTTTCATCCCCGGAGAATTAAGTGATCTCTCTCATCGGCATCATATTACTGTTTTAGAGGCTAGACAAACAGGGTCACGGCCCTAGTCAGAAGGCAGAAGAAGAAGAAGAAGAAGAAAAATAAAATTAGCTGGTCATTTCTTCACATACGAAGAAGGAGAGGAGTTTGGTTGTTTTGAAGCAAATGATCTTAATAGGATCCCCTCATCCAAGGAAGCCAGAATCGGCCGGCAACGCTGAAGATACACTGAAAAAAAAAATTGCGAAAATACGGTTTCAAATCACCAAATTAGTAAAATCAACCCGGTGTTCTTGATGTATTTTGATGAGTTGTCACCTTTTTTCACTATTTCATGTGTTGATTTTAGCAGTTTTTTTTTTTCAGTGTATGAGTAGGAATAGAGTCCTAGGAATGAAAGTAATAAGACTTCGTCTAATGTGAACAAGGACTAATCTCCTGAAAAAGGATCCTCAGCTTTTTTTGGAACAGTTTGGTTATTCGATTGATCTGGATTTTAGATTTTTTTTCTTTCTCCTTTTTGTTCAAAATCCTCAAATGCCTCATTAAGCTGTAGTGCACCAGTTATTTATACACAAGATTTGACTAAGAAATATCTTGAGACGTCTCCGAAAGCTCGGCAAGTCAGAGGGTACATCGCAAACCTTTTTTCCTCCGATTTCCGATATTTAGGTGGGACGAACTCGGACGAGCAATCTGGAATTTTTTGATCGAAGCATTTGTACCAAAACCTGGCGTATGTACTTAGTAGCATGACGAGACGGTTGAGAACTTCTGAAACACTGTCCTGAAATCCAGAAATCATCAATTGATCAATCGAATATTGGATTTTTTGAGGAAGTGCTATTGAACCAATTTAAGAGAGTATTTCTTTCTCATTGTTGTGAGTTGAATGCATTGGTTGATGTTGGTGTGCAGAGAGATGACGGTGTTATCGCTGCTGACTGAGGAGCATTCTTTACTCGAAACAGTCTAAACGCGCCTGTAAAGTAATCGGATGCAACAAGCTAGTCTAGATTCTCTATTCCTGGGTCTTAATCAATAAGAGTTATATATATCTCGTCATCTTCCGGCCTACGTATCACATGCGCCATGCGACGTTCAAAAATTTCCGCCGCCATTTTATTTTTTATAGAGAATTTTTTGGTTGAATCTGTTTGAAAATTTCAATGTATTTTATCGGCAGCACAAAGAAAATTCAGTGAAATTTTCGAACAGCTTCGTTGAAAAATTTCTCTATGAAAAACATTAAATGGCGGCGAAAATTTTAAAGCGTCACATGACGCTTATGATATACCCAAGCCGGAAGGTGACGAGATACATGTAAATAAGATTCTTCGTAGCCATTATATTTTTCAAACTTAGGTTTTTTATTGTTTCTTGGTGATCGAGGGGATGCAGTCGATGTCATTCGAGACATTAGCAAACTTGTGAATCTGTCAAAGTTTTGGTTCTAAATTCTGCTCTTATCGTGCTCCAAAATTTAAGCCGTTCAGAAATGCATTGTTCTTGCAAAAACGGTTCAGCCTTCTGGTAAATTTCGTTTTCCTTCAGGTCACTTGGGCTCCATTTGATGGATGAAAATTTTGTCGGATTCCTGCAATTGAAAATGAGCATGGATGTAAAATGATAGACGAATCTTGAACACAAGCAAAACATGGTGAAATCTTAGGGCGTAATAATAAGGACAACATTTTGAAAGGGACTTACGTTCCAGTGGCGTGGCGTGAATTTCGATGTATCGATTGTTATGCCATTTAAACCTATAGAAAAGGATCGATAAACAGGGTGTTCGCAGCGAACACCTTAATAATCGATTCTTTACCATAGGTTTAAATGGCATAACAATCGATACATCGCAATTCACGCCACGCCACTGTTACGTTCCCTCTAAATACTGATCCCTCCTCTGGTTTAAAATGATTCAAAATGAGCTGATGAGATGTTTACATTTAAAATCGAAAACTTGTGCAGCATATTATTTTCCCTCGTGGGTATGTTACTTCAGATCTTCTTTTGTTCTACTGTTTAAAAAGTTATAGCAACAACAGAAACGTACAAATAATTGAATATTTACCCATCTTCTATGAATGAAACCAAAGCTTCGACCATCAGCTTTGAGACTTCCACGTCTTTTGCCGTGTATGTTCTGTTTGGAAAATTCTTGAGGTCAGGAAAGAAGTTCAAGAGCACATCACTGTGAGTCGGTGCCGCTGGAAAAAAAAGAGAAAGTTCCAAAAGTTTAGGAGACTGTTCGAGTGCTCGGTGCCACATAAATGCAGCTTACTATATCATTGTAAAAAATGAGGTGTAAATGGTGTCATTTTGTCAACGTTCATACTTTATTTTAATGTTTGTAAAATGTACATTTTAAACACTGTACTAGGAGCCCGTGGCCGCTATGCGGCCGCCAACTACTGAACATAACCTGCATGTAAAACAATCGTAGAACGTTCATTTTCAAGTTCTTTAAGAGAAAAATGGATTCAAAAGCCGCGAAAGAAAGTGTATTTATCTCTGATTGCAACGTTATGCACCACTTTTATGTCTTATTTTTGAAGACCGTTTGTAAAAAGCTACAAACAGTTTTCCTGAACAGCTTCCATGATATCTCTTAAATGATCTCTAATGTAGGTATCGAAAACTTCGACGCGATATTTTCGTTCGTTCTATTTCCTTTTTATTTAACAAAAAAAAAAAAAATTAAATATCATCCGAGTCTCTGAATCGTTACGATGAGAATACATATTTTCCCTTTACTTATGGTAAAAAACTGGAGCAGAGTCAAGAATGATGACACGTAATCCTAGTCTAACGGAGGCTTCAGCGTCACGCATGCCAGGGAAAGGAACGCGGTGGAGTCATCTACGACACGCCTTCCATCGGGCTAGCGGCAATATGCATACACCCGTGGTCGAATAGTTATCTCGTCACGCCTGTCTTGAATGAAATCAAATATCGACGCCTGCACCCAGATCTAGTGTTTTTATATCCCATTGCAACGTTGTATATCTCTGCTCGTGTTTTATTTTTAATCAATTTTTTTTAAAAAAAAAAGCTACACGCAGTTTTTTTTTAAGTTTCCGAGAAATTCCGGAATGGTTTAAGAATCACAAAAAATTTCAACGCGATAGTTTCGTTCGTTTTGTTTCCTTGTTATTAAACCAAAATTAATTTTATGCAAATCAAGCTTTAGATTCACTGCATCGTTTAAACTTCGTCCGAGTTTCTGAATCGTTGCAATGAAGATACATAAAATTACCCTTTATACCCTTTGATTGTGGTAGAGACCAAGCCAAGACCGTCCACAATTAATGAAGCGTGGTCATAATTTTGCGGCGATCTTATCGTCGCGCAAGCCCNGGGGGGGGGGGGGGGGGGAGAGCGCGGTCGAGGGTCGGGTCATCTTCACAATGTGATGCGCCTTCAATCTAGCCAGCGGCAGTATGCCTACACCCGTGGTCGAATAGTTATCGCAAATGGTTCTCACACTGCATTTGGCGTAATGCGAGAAGTATTCATGCAGTCTTGTAGTCGCTAATGAGCGTCACGCCGACTGCACTGTTTGGCGCATTGCGTGAAGTATTCCTACAGCCTTGTAGGCGCTATTATGCGTTCAATGCCGCGCCGGCAGCACTGCATTTAGCGCGATTATTCGACCTCGCGTTAGGATAATCGTGGCATCGAACCTTTGGGCTTAAAAGACCCATGTTGTGTTTCGACGCCGTATGAACATTCCAACGTTGCCTCGTTTCTCCCGATAAAATATTTTCTCTGAGAAAGTTATGGAAATTCTCTATATTCGCTTTTTCAGATTGAATGGACCACTAAACACGGTACGAATTTAAGCCCTCTGATACACGATTCTTCACCAGAATTTTACGTAGAACACGATTCGCGCAACAAGAACTACTGAAATCAACTTCTAGTCAAGATATTAGCGTATCATTGTCCATTGTTTACGGGAACTTTGAATTGCCCGGTCACAAGAAAAACAAAACTCTACGCGAGTCAAATTGCGCGCCATTTGATAACGTTGACACTATTATACCATAGACTTCTATAGGCAGGTTGAAATCAATAAGCCACCCCCCTCCATCGGCTGAGCGCTTAAAATATCAACAAATGCGAGTAATTGAAAGAGTCTCAATTTATTGTGGGTATTAATGGATTTTTACAGTCCTGCCATTTTTGAGGCTATTTAAGTTTTGAGATTTAAAGATGCGAAATTTACCTTAAGTTGCGGGAGGGGTCCTTTTTTATTTGGAAAATCTGAATTTCACTGTTTGAATCACGCTTAACAAGATCACCCTCCCGCCCTAATATTTGGTCACGGTCATAATTTTGTTATTTTTCAAATTGCTTAAGTGTAATCAACGGGCAAAGATCACCAAGCATTTCATAGGTACATAATTGCCCTATAATTTTTATCGCTGAGTTTGAAAATTGTCCATATCTTCTACGCCCAATCATTAGGTACAAAGTTGAGATTTCCCTTGAAAAACATATTTTAACACGGAAAATTGGTGCATGATACAGAAAATCGGGATTATTTTCGGGTTTAGCAGCAAGCAGTTAGAGCTCTATCAGACACTCGGCTCCAAAACTCTCGAACGTAGAACAAGCGGATCAATTTTTCATGATTATAAGTGCACTTATCATGGAAGTTGATCTGGGAACCTCGGTATCGGTTATGGAAATTCTCTATTTTCGCTTTTTTAGACTGAATGGACCATTATACACGGTACGAATTTAAGCACTCTGATACATCGTACAGATACATAATACATACTCTCTAATACATACTCTGAACCAGCGATAATTTATTTTCCGCCTTTCATCAATTTTTATCTATATTTTATTATCCGCTAAATCTAGAAACTATCTTAGTTTTTACTATTCTGCACCAATTTTAAAAAATAATTGAAATTTTCCGGGGAAAGCCCGTTTTGAAGATACTCATTTATCTTCCTGCAGGAAGTAAGCCCTTACAAGAGACTAATCAATGTCATTTTTGAACGACAGTTCTGAGCCATGTATGAATATATTTTGGTAATTAAATACATTAATGTGTAAGTTTACACGACTTACCTTTGAGACTTCCATCACCTCGCAACGAGTTGAACGTTACAGACTGGATATAAGTGTACCTATACACACTCACTTCCCCACCATAATTCAAGGACGCATTTTCAACTCCCGTGAAGAAAAAATAGTCTGAAAATAACTGCAAAACGCAAGAATAATGAGAAAAAAAATCTATACCTACCATCGTCATTTTCAAGCCTTAAAATATGCATTACTTTAAATTGATAAATAGTACATTGTTAATACCATATTAATGTTGTGTTGTAGTAATTTGTTAATCGTTGCCCGTTCAGGATATCGGACCGGAAAGGTTACCAACATTTTTTCAAGCAAATCAGAGGAGTAAACATTGAAGCAGCTCCTCATCCTTCTTCTTTGTATGCATTTGTAAGATAGTTGCCTATACACACCCTCCTCTTGGGTTGCTTCTATTAAGGAGACAAAGCATTATCGACGAATTTTTTAGGGAGAAATGTCTGTCGAGTTTATTGTGTGTATTTGCAATTATTTCGTAGGCAGTGCACTTGTAGCGTTTGCCGTTACTCACACAATTGAAAAATTGAACATCGATATCCAAAATCGAAAAATACCTACATTCGTTGCAGCGTCTCATTGACCAGTTTTTTTTTCAACAAGACTTCCTTAAAATTTCCATCGAATATCTTTAAATACGCGAAGATGATTTACAGAATTTTCAAGTAAGACGCAATCAGGTTTCTTTAAAAGCAAAGTAAAAACATAAAACAATAAAACAACAGAAGTGGTTTGCAACGTCACGCAGGTACGCATTTTTTTTTTTTTTTTACTTCAGCCATATCAACATGTGAATGGCTTGAAAGAAAAGGCGCATAAGTGCAGTTTTTAAAATAATTCAGATATTAATGATTTCAATTAAAACTAGTCTTTATACATATTCTATGAAAAATTTGCCCCTAAATTCTAATTTTTAAGCATCAATAAGTCTGCTTGGAATTTCTCTCCGCGCATAAGGATCTATGTAATTTCGAAACTTCAAACACGTATTTTTCGAAGTAGCAAAAACTGCACTTATGCCCCTTGTTCTCCGAGCCACTAACGTAATGTTAACCATTTTATTATATGCGTGTTTATGGTATGAACTACAAATCGAATTACAGAACTACTATTCTTAGTTCAATATTAAAACAACTCATGTGACATTAGTTCCCAGCAGATAGGTGCTTTTGTGGATGAGCCAGAAATAATAGTTGCTCATTACAAAATGAAGTCCACATGAAATAGCAGATATTATTTCAAACGCATAGAAATAATAAAGCATCCAATACGTGATAAACAGTGTTTCAAAAATTGTCCTTAAAATTAACTTACGTTCACCAGTTGCGATTCAGTGCTTCTACCAACAGGAAGGTCCCCAAAATAAAATCTTAGAATTCGGTTTACTATTTCCGGGATGTCATCGGCACAGAACTCCAAATCAAGTGATAGAAGAACCGGTAGAACCAATTTTGGGTTTTCCGCCAGTAAATTTTCCAGATCAGGCTCACCAAATATATCTAAAGCAAGACAGACTCTCCGTGAATTGTACGGATTTATTCAGAAACAGCCTAACTGCATCCCACATTTCCAAATATCCTCTCGAGTAATATTTTTCAATATGTTTTTTCTCTCTTTTATGAAACCAAACAACAAAATATCATTGTGATTTGCTTTTGTATTTTAAAGAGTACACTCACTAAGTTTCGCAAGTCTCAGTGTTGCTTCGTTTTCAGTTCAAAAAATAAAACATACAAGAAAATTAGGAAGCGTCTGATATACTTGGACTAATGCTTGTTAGATTAGTTCAATCGCACTGCAAAAAAAGAGAGACTTTCACGGCACTCGAATCTACTTTGAAACGATGAGTATTAAATTTTTTTATGACTTACAATTAGTTACATATTAATTTGCGAATGTAGGTTTTTTATGTATACTTTTACATTTGAGGACCGAGTTTCGTTGAAAAGCACCAAGAAGTCACATCAATTTTGAACCGAGACAAAGAAAATCTGAAGTTTTATTCCTCCAAACACCACAGACAATTTTTCATCATCCAATATCTTCTAGTTTCCACCATTATTCCTTCGAATTTCTATGTTCTAGTTTCTGCCTAATTTTCTCAAATGTTTCTTGATGAGTTCTGCGGCAAACCGTTTCCACGGATCTGTACCTATTTTTCTAAGGAAGTTTTAAGACCATGTACGACGACACACGGAAGAGAAAGAAATAAAAAATATTGGCCTTAGTGTTAAGGCGAAGGTCGAAGAATATCTTTACGTTCAAAATCTTTTTTCTCGACTTTAAATTTTTGAGGGGAAAAATGTACCACTAGTTCAATTCAAAACTCCTCATAAATTTCGTTTTTCAAAATTTGGCAAGGTGCGTTACTTTTAACTGTGAAAGCTTATATTTAAAAACATATAAAAAAAAATTTACGAGTGGTTCCTCTGGTATTTTCGTAAAATTTCCCTTCAGAAACACGCTTTAAAATTGAATTCTTGACGAGATAAACATAAATATTTGAAATATTGACCAAAAATTCATGTTCAACCTCTTCCATTAGTTGGTTTCACTGTGTGCCATGATAAAAAGGGATATTTTTATTTGAGAAACATCAGAGAAAGACAGACTTACATGCCACATACACCCCACCGTCTGCAGCGTTAATAATATTCAGCCACGGGTAATTTGGTCTAAAAGTTGCAAGTTTCGGATCGATTGTCAGAAAAGGGCTCGGAGAAGATTTCGGCTCAACAGTAGGTGCCCATAAAGTGCCGGTCGTTGGTTTCTCAATGTCATTCTGTGCAGGAAATCGTAACATTAATGCCTTAGAATTCATTGAAGAATAATAAACTATTAAGTCTAGTATAATGTGCAAGGGGAACAAATTAAAATACCACGTCCAATGGCGCAGAAAGTGATGCACATGTGCGTAAGGTGTGTCTGTTATACATAGTTATGGAAACGTCAGAAAAACTGTTTAATTTTCTAACATCGCAGTTTACGTCTCAAACTTTCTGTTTGAGTCGGATGATAGATCTATTTTAAATACTAAAGTAGACGCGGGTGATAAATTCAAAATAAGTTAACAATAAGTCAAAGAATACATAATGAATTGCACTGGGAATTAAAACACATTGGATCTAGAGTCCAGACTCTTGAAAACATTGACAAGAAAAAGGACTCTTGATTCAATCAGGATTTAAGCTTAAATCAAAAGGAAATCCGCTCCAATTGAGAGGCTTGGTTCTTGATTTAAGCTTAAATCTGAATGAATCAAGAGTGTTTTTTCTTGTCGGTGTTATATAGAGTCTGGACTCTAGATCCAATGTGTTTTTTTTCCAGCGTGGCGTGAAAATATAGAGAGTGCATCATATCCATACATTATTAATTAACCAAGTGCTAGTTCATTGATGGTTTACGGGTCCTGAGTAGTTCCGTAAGTCTAGATTTCAGTGTCCCTTTCATATTTCTCAAGTCATTTTAGTGATGGCTTGATTTGTTCAGTTTCGATTCAACTTCATCCTCAATTATCTCTTTTATCGTTCAGACATCAGCCGTTATTCTGATGGCGATGGTCCGACTTGCAGCTGATAGCCATATCGATTGCAGCCAGCCAATCACGCGTAGCCTTATTGTCTCACCACCGGTGACGTCTGCAAGTCTATATAAGCGTGGGCTGCCCTTTCTTCGGGGTCTTCCCACTGTAGACCCGTTTGTGCACCATGCAAGCCCTTAAGTATTCCTATAGTATGAATTTTTCTGTGCAAACCATGTAACTCGAATTTTTCATAAAAACTTTTCGGGCCTTATCAAGTTTTAGTTCGCTCTGGTTCTCACCCTCCCACTTCTACGCTTTTTTTTTGCAATTTTAGCGCCCTCAAGCGCAAGTGGGATCCCTCCCCTTTGGCGCAATACCCCCCCCCCCCCCCCNCTTGGTGCAAAACTCTCCTCATTGGCAGACGTTCTTTTTCGAGACTTTCGTTCATCAACTTGTGGGGAAAATTTTCACCAATAGCGGCAGGATAATTAGGTCGCCATCGTTCTTCAGTTTGACCACTGTGTGCACAGTGTAACAGTTCTTCCAGCGATTACCCCTTTTCCTTTTTTTCTACCGCTAAACCTTCCTACCGAGTCAGTGTAGGTGAGACCTACGCTGACTTCTAGGTCCATCACTCCTCCATTTTGATGTTTCATTGGAGGCGAGCAGTCGAAGTTCCTAGGATCCACTGGATCTACTAAAATAAATCATGAGCAAACAACTTACCGGATAGACTTGTGACTCGAGTTGAATGAGCCTTCGGAAGTCCACATTTCTCATGCAATCCACTAAAGACTCTGATGGCTCCGTCGGACACTCAACCAACTCAGCAAGTTTCTTTGAAGGAGTGGATATATTTACTAAAGGCGCAAATGAGTACGGATTCTGAACGACACCGCTTAAAGATACACATCGTTTGAATAGACCTAAAAACAGTGCAAAAAAACCATGATTAAGGCACCATTTTTTTATTATCATACCGACGCCATTTTCTTATCAATGCGATTATCTATTGGGTTTTTTTTTTTGTTTTCAACCATGTATGACCTCAGCAAATAGACTATTTTAAACATTGAAAGGTAATGGTTTAAGAGAGAAGAGAATATAAGTTGAAAGCTTAATCAATACTAATTACGTGCAGGAATTTTTACAGTGGAAGAGGGTAGTGTAAAAGTTTAGAGTCCTCATAAGCGAGAGGCTCGCTGTGAGGCTGTGTTTGGGGGGGGGGGCTGAAAATCATATATTTGTCACGATACGAAGTTCTTAATTTTTTAATCTCGTTTCTTTTAGATTGGGCCTGACTTTGTTACAGAAAAATCGATGGAAATAGGTATAACTGGGGGTGAGAAATTCCTTGTTCTGTGTCACGAAAGTTATTAAGAGGTTTTCCTCTGTGTCACGAACTTATAACATAAAGGAGGAAAGTTAAACCTCCAAAAAAATTGCGGAATTCATGACCAAGTTCAAGTATTGCACCTGCATGCCAAATATTGGAATGCAACTTTCGCGGAACACCTAGCTTTAATTGTACTTATTTATTTTAAATGATTGTCACCTTTAGCAGATGGTGCGTAAAACATAGAGTTAACAGCCGCACCACCTTTACTTTCACCCATAATTGTAACTCTATATGGATCCCCGCCAAAGATTTCTATATTATCTTGCACCCACTTCAGAGCCAAAACTTGATCTTTCAAACCCCAGCTCCCCGCCGCAACATCGTCGCCTGAAGAAAGAAAACCTGCAACAAAGTACGTTCGAATGCTTTAAGAGTATGGCAGGAAGAGAGAATGGTAAATGGACTTGGATGTATTCTTGAGTGCAGGTAATAGAAGACCGGTTAGCATTCATTCTACTCGTACATATCCATTGCAGTCAATTACCTTCATGTCCAAAGGCTATCTGAATGCAAAATCAAATAGACTTGAAGTTATATTGTCCTTATACTGCACTCACTTGCTACCTTTTTCCAATGATCAAGAACTGTTAATTTGGTGCGGTTATATTATGTAATTAAAAATTGTCAATGCTTTTGGTTGATTTAAATTAAAAAGTCTTTATAAAAAATAATTTTACTCGATACACTCACTGGATTCCAAATTTTACGAATGATTTGATCATTTGTCATCTCCATTTATGTAACTATTGTAACTTGCGTGGTCAAACTGGAATCGATCTAAAGTATGCTGGAAATCCATTTTATGCGCTTTTCTAAATTTCTTATTTCTTTTTTTATTTGTGTACAGTTTCATTGATTTTGGCGATAACCTGCACAATTTATATTACCTACCGAAAACTCCAAGCCGGAAATTGATGGTCACCAACACGATATCTTCTGCAAGGAGAAATTCTGGACCATAAACGTGGCTGTTGCTGGATCCTACCAGCCATCGACCGCCGTGAACGAAAAATAGAACGGGAAGTTTCTTTTTACACCCTCGCAACACCGGAATCTAAAAGAAAAAAAAGTGCAACATTTGTAAAGGCTTCAGAATTGAACTACAAAAAATTAAAGTATTTTTAACAATTTTACGTAATGTCAATAACCTTTTTGTAGAAAATATAATCCACAAAAATGGTAGATGAATAAAAGAAATGAAAACTTAAAATCTCTTATTTCCGTGGTGCGATCTTGGCGGATACAAAAGTTTCAGATCACCGAAACCCAAAATAGCCCTGTTAAATAATATGTAACCACCTAATTAAGATCCTGTGAAATCCTAACATAGCGTTAAATGTTAATGTTTTTTTTTTTTTTTTTAATTTAAGAAGGTAAGTTTATTGTAGAAAATACATATACAATTTAGTGGAGACATTATCGCCACCTCCTTATCTTCTATAGAGGGTGTCGTAATATGTTTACATATCCCTCTGAGGGCAACTTTTGATTAAATAAATTTAATCTAAAAGAAAAGATCTACTTTTTCACAAAACAAAAACCCCTTAGAGGGGAAAAAATAAACTTAGAAGTCAGCTGAGTTGACACTCTTAGAAAGAATCTTTAGTTAGTATTATCTCTTAAAGGAAATAACTTAAAACTAAAAGTAAGCTAATCACTAGAATGAATGTATGAGATAAAATGTTAATGTTGGGCAGTAAAAATAATACAAAAAAATGTTTTTTGTTTTGTTTTTTAACCATTATTATGGCTAGATATTCATAAGGGTTCAGCTTATGAATGATAATAGTAAGGCCATTGCACTTAAAAGGGTTTTTTTTTCTTTCGTCTATATTTTGTCAAAAACCTTCCATCATAGCTAGTTATTTGAGTATGAATGACAGAACTTTGACGTCTGCAAGGAAACACCTGGTCAAATATGGACGATTTGCCATGGATATCAATAAAAACAATGCCACAGAGCAATTACACAATTAACTCGCCGATTAATTACCCCTTTATGGAAGTTCCCACTATTTGAGAGTATTTCGTTTTCCTGACAAGTGATCCTTAGTTTGCAGCAAAAACGAAATTAAAATTCGTAAGGAACGTTTTCCCTGAATTATCTGATTCGAACTAAGTTCTGTAGCTTATATAGTTGTTATTATCAATACTCAAAAACACACAATATTGTCTACAAAATAACTTAAGACCAAAAAAACTAAGAACCGAGGTGTTTAGTTTCCTGCACGTAGATTGAAAATATACTGCGTCCTCCGAAAAAATGATTTGTATCAATTTCTCATTTATTCATCAAAAATTACGCAGACATAAGTGGAGAAGCACAGCTAGAACCGTAATTTAAAATGGTATAATTTAATTTGTTAATAGAAGTCGGAGTTTAATATAATTATCTAGGACGCAAAGTTCGTAAATAAATTCACAGATTGGAATTTATTAGAGCACAAAGGGTATATGGACCGCGTTATGCAGAAAGGAACAAGCCACATGAGCTATTGCGAAATTTAATTGGGCAATTCTTTTTTTTACGTGAAAACTGTTGTGCGGATTTTGGAGCAAATTTCAGTGAATTTTCTGCATAGTAAAAAGCAAATTCCTTAAAATTTGCAAAGAAATCTGTGAAAACGTTCTCTTGTAAAAAATTAAATTGCTTGGTAAAATTTGGCAATGGCTGATGTGGATTGCTTCCTTTCTGCTAAACGCGGTCTATTTTATTGCCTGCCTCGAAAATGAAGGCGAAATAACGATGTGCGTTTAACTTCCTTGCAACCATCGTATCAATCATCTTTTTTTATGGGATGAGTGCTAATGGTTGGGAACCACTTAGAGCTCTTCGCGCCAGAAATATTTACCTTGTACACATGCTTATTTTAGAGTGTAACTCATGGCCTTGCTTTTAGCCCTGACTTGTGCCTGCTCCTTCATTAGTCCCAAATATTCTTTAGCCATCAATTGGGCCGCCATCGGCGAAGTCAGTTTTTTGCATGGCATCCACGTAGGATAGTGTCAGATCATAGTTTCTTAGATGATAATACTTTTTCATCCGAACATTTTTTGCGGCTTTAAATCAGTGCTTTACTACTATGGGAAAGTTGCTCCTTCTGACGGCCTTGACCGTCGCTGAACTGGCCTTTTTGGCAAACGTCAGCGGAATTCCAGGGCCGGGGTCCCCATGGTTGCCAAATTGGGGGAATGCGAAACAAAGAGGGGCGCCCCCGAAATCGTGGTCGGTGAACATCTACCAGGACAAACTTGCTGGTGGGAAAAATCAGACGTTGAGCGGACCTGGTTGTCAAAATGTCATGAGCGAGCTCAACGACAAGACCTCATCTTTCCTAGTGACGGCCGGCAACGTCCAGTTCTTCAGCGACAAAGACTGCGCGAAGCCGTTGGGCTCCTGTTCCTCGTCGCAGGACGTGATGAGGAACGACAATCTTAAGGACTCGACAGACTATAACGACAAAATTTCGTCCGTCGGCGACTGTCCGGGTCAAGCTCCACCCAACCAGGGCAAACCGGGTGGCAAAAAATAATACTACCAAGATATGCTGACTCTATCGCGTGAGTAGGTAACTTAGTTTTCTGTTCGTGTGCAAACTTGATACTGAGAGGAAACATCGAAATGTATAATTGAAACATGAAAAAATTAAGGAAATAGAGTGTTATGAAACTTCTAACCTTTCCCTTATCCCTGAAATTCTCATTTTGTCGTATCTCGAACGAAAAAACGTAACTCGATTCCAAGTTTGCAAAATTGTTTCAATATTAATGTTTTCATCACAAAAATGATTGCGTAACATCCATCCAGAATTTCGATGAATTTTGCTTGCAGCTTATATGAGAATGAGTGAATTTTCAATAAATAATGTGCAGAAATTTCCAGGTAAAATCCTAAATTAAGATTCGGAGATTGGCAATATTGAAAAGTAGTTATGTTATTTTGTCTTATAGAAACGACGATTAATAGTTTACCTTTGTAGAGTAAAATTGAACTTTTTGAGGCATCATTATGCTTATTGTGATTAAGATTAAGCTGTATTAATGAATTATGTGACATAATTAATCAGACCTTCATCTTGACGTGATCAACGAGGCTTCAATGCAATCTAAGAAAGTGATTCCTAGGGTAGAGGCTCCAAGAGAATTCATTCAAAATCATACCTCACATCGAACTCAGTTTAATGCAGACCCGCAAAATTGCAATACTGTGTCATTTAACTGAGTAAATATGTAAATATGGCACGGTCCGTATGAAGCAATAATAAAAGTGACAAATGCATTTGAGGACAAATGTTTAAAGGAGTGAATTTAGTGCGAGCATCAATCTTTTTTGTCTAAAAATGGCGCTCAAAAAAGGTCATCACGCTCCAGGTCAATCGGAAGGAGGTGAAAATAACGGCATATCTTAAAACTTTTTCCTTCGAGAGACTAAAATGTCTGTTGTCTGCTACATCGTCTTTCCTTATGGACCTCCTTTGTAGGAATGCGGAGGAATTGAAGACGCTGCTGGTAATTTTCTGTTCAGATCCACTGTTTTCGAAGTCATTTATGATAATTGTCCATCTCTTTTTTACATCATCGGATGTTACTGTGCACCACAAAATGCGCATGCTGATGTGTCTCACTTTTCTCGGGTGAAAAGATTAGACAGTACACTTTTCCTCCTCTTATAATTAAATGGGGGGAAAACATTATGATCCATTACCTTTTAATTAGAGTCTTAACAATGTCTGAGATTCGCATATGTTACTCGAATGTTTTTGCTCCTGTAAAAACACAGCGCATTCGTTGAGATAATTGGCTGGTTTTTTTTTAGAAAATCCTGTCATCTAATCTGTATTTTGATGCCAGTTGAAGTGCAAATAAATCCAATGATCATTCTTATCAAGATTGAAAAAACAACTGTTCCTGTGTTGAAAAACTGTAATTTGATGAAAATTAAACTCATAATAATTGGACGTATTTCTGCCAAACGGAACTATGTGTAGTATGACGTGACCCTGTTGTGCATTTATTCTTATAAGTCTCGGGGCTCATTAGTAGTTCCGTTTGGCAGAAATACGTTCAATTGCCAATTTCCCCGTTCAAATCATGTACTCCTCTGTATTATATTAGAATAATACAAATACAACAAGTATAGATGGCAAAGCTTTTAAATTGAGTTGGTCCTTCTCAAAAATGCATTTAAGCGCCAGAGATTAAAATACAAGAAAACTCGTATATACTGTATTAATCGGCCTGTTTTACATAGGCGAGTACGTAATAATGCATTTGGACGTATTTCTATCAAACGGACCTAAGCGCCATAGGGGGAGGAAAGGAGAGGGGGGCTTGGATTGGCGGGTGTTGCGGAATGCGATGCTCGATCCTCCTATATTCGCAATGCTTTTCCGTGGCGCTTAGGTCCGTTTGACAGAACGCGCTATCCGGGATTCTAAAATCTTCAAAAGGAACTCTATTTGGCGCTTAGTTCCGTTTGACAGAAATACGTTCATTTGATCGATTAAACGCTAAAATATTTTGAAGCTTTGAGATTTGGAACGGGTCAATTCAAACTTATTTAATTTTTCTCGTATTTTTCATTTCTGGCGCTTAATTCAGTCATCAAACAGTCACCAAAACCTCAACCCTTTCTTAATTCAGAGATTATGGATTGTGAAGATTGGACTATGTGTTAAATACACTCGCACGAAGCAGAAACCAATATTATTGAGGATTCTTTTCCGAACCATTCCTTCTTTTTTGCCTCCTGAGAGCGCATCTTCTCCTCAGCTTCCCCAACAATAATGCATTCCCATCTGCTTTTCGTTGAAACACCGCAAATAACCATTAATACTGCAAGTATAACCAGTGGCACCGTGACCAGGTTAACACTACCTAGTTCTTATTTCATGCATAAGTATGTTGATGGTTTAAGTTCAACAACGCGTATCTCCATTGCAGTGTTCCAAATCTCTCTTTTAGTTTATTTTTTCAAAGAGGAACCAGTCAACTGTATAGCTTCCCGGGTAAAAATTGGCGATAGGAGCTGTGTTTCAAAATACCGTAGGAGTTCTTATAGCCGACTGAAGAGGGCGATAGAAAATCACATAGGTGGCTGTAGAAAGTGGAAAAAATCATACGGCCGGGCTACACGAAGCAATAAAAAATTATACAGCCGCGTTATAGTTCCTATCGCCGGGCTTTACACTTTATCACCTGGCTGTTGCTTTTTCGCCATCGACTATGAAAGGCAATAAGAAATTGTGTAGAAATTCTTGTGCTTTGTAAATCTTTAAGTTTGTACGGAATCACCTTAATATTTACAAAGCGCACATTATATTTTCCTTTACTACATATTTTTTTCATCAATTAAAATGAGAATAATCCGTGCAGAGTGTGCAAACATTTCAAAGTCATGAGTTGAAAAACTCTGACCCCGCGAGATTAAATATTAGATCCTAGCACAAAGCGAATCGGCGGCGCACTGACGCCTACAAACCTAACAGGGATACTTCACGCACCGCGCAATGCGTGAAGTATCCCTGTTAGGTTTGTAGGCGCCAATGCGCGTTCAGCGCTGGCTGCCCGCGGTGCCGCAGCGTACCGCGGCGCTTGAAGCAACTATTTCACACCAGAGGTATTGCACAGTATCATACGAAATTGAAGGCGCTTCAACATATTATGAATGGAAGGCATCCTTCAAAAGTACGGAGCTTTCCCAGCAAATTAAATCAAGATACTGCGGCCCAAAAAGAGAGCGGTAGTCCAAAAACTCACTAAGTCCTAGCATCCGTAATTAGTAACGTTTAGCATACACTTTATCGGCAGGCTGTTGCTTATTCGCCATCGGCTATAAAAGGCTATACGAAATTGTGTTGCCCGCAATAGAAGCTATTGGAAACCTTACAGCCGACGGTAGGTCTATATGGTATTTTGGAACACAGATTCTACTGCCAATTTTTACCAGGGTTGAAATTTATGCAGAATATTCTACTAAGAGAAGAGAAAATCGAGAAAGTTCATTTAAGAAGTTACATTGACTAGTTTCCCGAAAGAAAAGTGAAGTTTGACCAATGATCGGAAGTCCATAGCGTCGCAAACGGAGATACTAGGTTTAGGTTTTAGCCATCAATGTAGTATGTAATAAACCTACTTGAGGAGTGTAGACATTCAAGTACAGGCAATTTTCTTCGCCTATAACCATTTGAGTGCTCGGATTTATCTGTGGGCATGGTGGAGCATCCGCTGTTGCATTCAAAATTACATACGAATTGTTAACAGGGACTGGAGCCTGAAAGGTAAAATCCAATTAAATCATACACAGTTGGGAACTATAGAAATTGCGCAATTTTTTTTGGTGAATGAATTTCAGCCGCTTTGAAATAACTAAATAATGATCTCTCTTGTTTTCCGAGAAAATACAACAAGTGCTTTAAAGAAGAAAACTAACAATGGTGTTTTGAATTTGTGTGCTGGATGGTATCACTCTACGATAAAGAAATTAATAAACTGTAAAAAAATATAAAAAATAAACAAACCGACCGAAAAAATGCCTACAGTCCCTGATGTAGCGGATTAGATTTTTTCTGTATACCCCTGCATTGTCGAAGTACACAAAACGGTAGTTAAATTGCGTTATGGTCCGGTCATATATACTCAATGTAATGAGACATTAGTCAAGGAAACATTAGTAAAAGAAATAAACTGGATCGATTCAAAGTTACGTTTAAGGCAGCTTTAAAATAAGACGAAGGTTATAAACTTTACGAGAAAATTTTGATGAAAATCAAATTTCGCTGATACACGATACATTAAGACGGAAGGTATTACAAACTAACGCTTCGCGGCGTGCCTTCCGAAGCGTTTCACGTCTCAGACATTATGCGTTATGCATTGCTCTTATGATATTATGGTGAAGAATAGGATATCACATAAAACTCCGAAATATTTTCCCTCAAATGCGAGGGTCATCCAACAGTATGATTTCCGATGTTATGTCTGCCACACTAAAAGAAATAAACTGAATCGGCTCAACATTACGTGTAAGACAACTTTAAAATAACACGAAGGTTATAAACGTTGTGAGAGAATTTTCATGAAAACCTAATTTCGCTGAGACCACTTCCCGTCAACGCATAGGGGTGTGGGTCAATAGGAGGGATCGAACATGACGTTGAAACTCTAAAAGCTAATAACTTTTATAATACGAAAAGCAGTAGAAGTTGGTTTCATCGATTTCCTCGTAAAATTTTCTTTCTGAAGCCATTTTTAAAAATAATTTTGTGACAGGGTAATCAACATTTTCCAGTCTTAGTAAAACTGTCAGGTCCGATCTTTCCCGATGTTCGTCCCAATGTGCGCCGTGTTCATGTAATTTCCGTTGCACTGACGGACCATTCTAAAATTTCCCAATTTTTTCCGCACATGTGGACTGTTGGGAGGAAATATTTTTAGTATACTTTGATCATCATATTTTCTCCTTGAATTCGAATTATTCACTCAGCATTTGTATCACCGTTTTGCGAAGAAATAATGGATTTTTCCCCACGATTTCCATCTGCAGCGCTTTCTTACCCACGCGCGCTATGTACAATAAGAGGTTAGCTCTGCTGCATGAATACCTACTGCGTCAAATTTTTAGGTAAATATTGACAATTCACTAATTATCGCATTTCTCGTTGATTGCTCGAAAGCTGGGCGCATGATTGTATTGGTGGAAGTAGGCAGTGCTGCGTATGCAGTGTGACGTCGCGGTAAGATGTAAAAACGTATTGAGGGTTGCAAAATTCTCGCAAAAAACAGATTGTTTTCTCTAACAGCTGATGTAAACTTTATTAAAATAAACACACAAAATTTTTCCCAGCTTCCTCTACTTCTTTTAAAAACATTAGGATAATTGTTTACGATTTTGATGTAAAAGCATTAGCAATCGTGCACATGATGTTGGAATGTGGTTTCGGCAAATTTTTTCTCGCGAACTCCTTGACCAATTTTTCATAACTTTGTCTCGTTTTAATGCCTTGAGTTGCACATATTGTCGTCATTATTTTGATCTGCTTCTTTTTTATGGGAAAAATAAAACAATAAAATTTACGTGTTGATTGATTCGAGTATTTTTGCGCAAAATTTCACCTGACATCACATGGTGATACAGATGGAGCGTGTTCAACGCAGCTGAAACTACAATTGCCTTCATTAGGAGAAGTAGACAAAACTTCTTCCCAATTCATAATGGGGTAAACTTCTTTCTATCACAGGTATATTTTTTTAAATTATTTTTTTAAAATAATTTATAGGGTTCTATTTTTGCTTGCTCCAAACGTCTGAAGAAACTTTAATCAACACGAAAATATGGGGACTGTCGATCTTTCATAATTTTTGGTTTACTTAGAGTTCATCAATTAGTCTTTCTTTTACATTTTAAAAATTTTCGCATATTTTTATTCTAGTTTTTATACGTAGAATAGGAGAGATTACGTTGTGTGTTAGGTATTTTAGTTGACCAGTATTTTACCTAAGTTTTCATTTCATTTCCATCCTTTAAGAAACGTTTTCAGTATGATGACACTTTTATTCTATTACCCTGAAAAGTTTTATTTTGTTTCATTCTTCAATAGCATACTGACCTTGAATCGTAGATCACCAACAGGCGGTTGAGCATATGGTATGCCTCTAAAGCATCTAATACACCTTCCATCTCTTGCCCTCACAGTAGTTCCAAGAATTTTTCCACTTTTCGTGTTTATTTCAACAATTTTGCAAAACAAATTCTCACATAGAACACAAAGCATCAGGAAGACGGTTCCATACTGTACAATTAGTTTTATCGTCATGATTATTTCAGGACTCGTATCTATATACTTTCTTCTTGCTACACAACTTGACACGGTTTACCAAACTCTAATGTACTTATCTACGTCATAGCATTGACATGTAAAGTAAAAACATTCACTTAAAATTTCTGAACAATTGTTGACTGTGTAGAGCTACAGACGATACTGTTAGAAAGTTTCATTAGAGCATATGTATGGGTGTATTCTTGCTTTTATGTGTGTATCAGCTATCACCGTTCAGTTTTAATTTTTCTTTTTTGCTCTTTTTTAACTTTAAGGTCAATCGGGATTGATAACTGAAAAAAAAATTAAAAGTGATTGAATCCAGTACATAGGATCAAGTCTACTAAAATGATAACTAATAAAAATCGGCATAAATATATAATAAAATTTTTAGGCATGCAGGGAATAATTGTATATCATTGAATAAACATTTTCAACAGTAAAAAATAGGGTTTGAATATAAGTGCTGGAATTTGATTCCAAAACTTGTTTGTGTTGCGCTTAAAGCTTCACGTAATTGCCACTTTCAAAAGCATATACTCCATTTAATTTTACTATTTATTTTTCAAAATTGAGATGTAATGCACTAAAAGTTCACGCTCATGATTCATAACTTTATAAATACATTACCTAATTTAGATTAATTAAATGCTACACTTAAGAGTGCTTCACTACACTGAAAATCTGTTCACAGTTTCGCATAGAGACAACTTGTACCTATACATACGCGGGTAAGAGATATAGTTATTGGTTATTAGCCCCGCACAAAGTACCCACATTCACTCGAAGAAGACATAAAAAGAACTTACTACACGTGTGCATGGGATACGAATATGAAGAATTGGATGAAAGAAAACACTCAAGGAAAAAGTAGGCATTGAAGACAAGGAAAATATGAAATACACTCGTATGAAAAAAAGACCAAGTTTGAAGAGAACCGTAGATCAGAAATGTCACGTATGCGAATTCGGAGAGTGTTAATTTAGTTTTTTGCACTCGAAGATTCCTCGTATCAAAACTGGGGAGTAGATTACAATTACAGAGCCCCTCGGGTAGAGAATTAAAATTCTCGAACGTAATATCACATTGGATTTTTGATGGAGGGGTCAAGAACAATGTATCATTAGGCCTTCTAGGAAATTTTGAAATATACATTTACTGCAATCTTCCGACGTCCGTGACAGAAAATTGATTCAAGGCAGAAGCCAAACTGACAATGAGAAAGCCTGAAGCAGGGCAGAGTTGAGGCACAAGTCTAGAAGCGTTCGATGGTAGCGCACTTTTCGGTGCAATGAAAACTGCTCGATAAGCAAAATTAATGTAAATATTATTCAAAAAGTGCCGCAATTTCTGCTTGTGAATATTTTAGAAAGTAAGTCAATATTCAAAAAGCCCTTATGTATTCTTTATCAATTCAATTTAATATTCACTAACGCAGCCCTGAGCGCCCCTCTTGCCCCCTGTAACGCACTCGTAACGCACACTCAGACCCTCCCTCCCCCGAGTAGTGCTGCAAAATCCAGTTTCTCACGTTCCTTAAAAATCTTGACTCCTAGGGCATTATATTTAATTTGCTTTTCATGCTAAAATCGGGTAGTGGAACTAGCTGCATTGTAAGCTAAGGCGAGAGGAAAAAAAGGATACGTTCTCTTAAACAAAGTGCATCGTCTTTAGGCAGCGATAAGGTATAATTTTAGCGTGGCCACTTTCACTGAGGCTCCCAAAATATACGTCAGGAGAAATCAAACCATGGTTTTGTCTGCGGAAAGCTTCGTTAGAGGTGTCCGTTCTTTGTTCATTATTTTCGTATTTGCCTTCTACACATTCGATAGCGTGTCTTGTTCTGACTTATTAAAGTGTAATCATAGTAAGTACTCAATGCGACTTGCTAGAGAGAACCGAGTTAGTCCGAAACTGAAGTGCGAAAATTCCTTATCCTTTTCTCGCAAGAGGGCTGATATTATTCTGAAAAATATGGGCTGAGTAATCGCTCATGTAATTACATATCCGCCTTAAATCAGCAACATGCAGAAGATGTACCATTTGGAAACTTAAAAACTACTTGGAATCATCGATCAGCTTGCCCTAATATATACACATAATAATGTCAGTGCGCAATTTCATTTCACTAATTGTTGGTTGATTGAGTCTGTATAATACGAAATTGGCAATAGGCATGTATTTTCGCACCTTAACTGACATGCAATTGGACCAAAATAAGCAGAAAGGAATCAAGCCACATTAGCTATCGCCAAATTTAACTGGGAAATTTAATTTTTTTACATAAAAACGGTTGTGCAGATTTTCGTGAAAATTTTAGTGAATTTTCTGCATGGTACGAGGAAAATTCCTTAAAAATTTAAAAAAGAATCCGCACAAATGTTCTCTTTCAGAAAATTAAAATGTCCAGTTAAATTTGGCAATAGCTTATGTGGTTTGGTTCATTTCTTTAAAACGCGGTCCAATTGGACCCCAGGCCAAAGGCGTAAAGAGCCGAGCACGCGATTCGCCGCCTGAAAATTAATACTGATGCCAAATATCACGCCACATGCACCATGTGTCTGAAAATGTTTTAGAGTAAACCCGGTGTCCCCTAATTGTTGAGCTTCGAGTGAAGATTCTCTTCTGCCAATAATAGATATCTTCGATTTTAAGTGAAGAGATGACAACGATGTTTAGTCAGGAAAACTGACTGACTGATGCACTCAACTTTTAGATCAGATGCAATGCGTCTCAGTATAATCAGGCCAGTTCGTTTAAACGATCATTCCCTCACCAAAAAGTATTTTGTAGCTAAGACTGGATGGTTTATCCATTTAACACCTCATTTTCCACACGAAATGGGAGTAATTGGTAAGTTTAAAGACTTCAACCTTGGACGTCTGCAGCCAGAGGCATGAAAACTCACGGATTTACGTAAGATAATCATGCTCTTTCTTTTGAGAAGAATTTAACCCAGAATTCTCTTGTGTGCGAATTTCCAGTATTTTCCTCGTTCAATTTTTTTCCATTAAAAAATTATTTTCTCCGAGTCAAAATAATTTTATGTGGAATCATTTGTTTTTTTATTTAGATATTTTTTTCTTCGGGAAAATAATGTTCCCTTTTAATTAAAAAAATATTGGTCATCGATGGAAAAGTTGTAAATGTATATTTCTTCGAATTTGAAAAAAATAATCCTGAATGAACAGCAATTGATGGGCTAAGAGGACAAGGCGCATAAGTGCAGTTTTTGCTATTTCGAGAAATACGTGTTTGAACTTCCGAAGTTACATGGATCCTTAAGGGAAAAAGAATGTTTAAACTGACTTTTTGATGCTAAATAATTGGAATTTTGGAGCGAATTTTTCACAGAATTTGCATTAAGACTAGTTTTACTTGAAATCATCAGTATTTCAATATTTTCAAACACCGCACTTACGCGCCTTGTTCTTCAAGCCCCTCAATTTTTCCCATCCAAAATAAGTCTGTGTGTTACAGACAAAAAAATCGTTTCAATTTAAAAAAATGTATTTTGATAATTCATTTTAGCGTTTTCTTCTTTTTTGAATGGAATGATAAATGATCAAAGTCAAATCCAGATGTGATTTTTTTTTTTTTTTTTTTTTTTTTTTTTTTTTTTTTTTTTTTTTTTTTTTTTTTTTTTTTTTTTTNTTTTCTTTTTTTTTTTTTTTAAAAAACAATTATTTTATTTGTTAAATAAACAAATAACAAATAAAATATTTATTTGTTTATTTTATTTTATTTGTTATTTGTTTATTTAACAAATAAAATAATTGTTTAAAAAAAAAAAAAAAAAAAAAAAAAAAAAAAAAAAATCACATCTGGATTTGACTTTGATCATTTATCATTCCAATCCAGATGTGATTAGTGATAACTAATTTTTTTTTTCATCATATTCGAGGAATTATTTTTCGAAAATTTTCAAAACAGCGAAAAGTTTCGGGGGAGTGACTAGGAGTAAATTGCGTACCCCTTCGTCCACTATTTTGATGACTTTCACAGGATAATTTCTGAGGTGTAATGGAAAGAAATTGAAACTATAATATCCCATCATTTATACTTTAGAGCTTTTCCGGACAATTTATTTTGAAGTTTTGAAGCCTATATTTTTCCTAGCTCTTAGGTTATTTCGGCTCGAAAAAACCCTACGTTAAAGCATGAGGGCTATAATGAATTTTCTAATTTAATTTATATAGCTGTATCAATTTGTATTAAAGTGTTCTGTTATTACTGACGAGAATACAACTCTTTCATTACTTTCAGATTGATTAAAAAAGTCACCAATAAAGATGACAAATTTTATGAGTAAATTTGAGTAGGAAGCATCGCTTATCTTGGAAATTTTCTTGGTAGGTACATGTTAAAGAAAAGACTAACATATTAAAACGAAGGAATTATACCATACTTTACCACAAAGCTCTCCATTCAAGTTGCAATGGCTGTATAAAAAAAACTCTCAGTTTATAAACATATCAGCAATGAAATCTCAACTCATATCATCCGTCAATTACAATCACCATCTAAAGAAATTGGTAATCATCAAGTATGATTCGCCTTCAATAGGGCTGTCGGCAAAACTGTATACATGGTGGTGATCTACGTAACTAGTTGGATCTGATAGGCTCTCTTTTGGTCTGTCTTCGCAGGTTACAACTCCATCTTTTGGCATTAATCGCTAGCAACATGTATCGTTCGAAAGCCTGGATTTTCAAACGTAAAAGAGTCAAATTCATTAACTATGTATGCAAGCTTCTCCGTTTTTCTCCCGTGATCATTCGTAAATATGTGATCAAAACATTCGTAAAAATGTGATCAGAACAAAATTATACGGCCTGTGCACCTATAACTCACTAATTTAATGAGTTCTCTATCCATTTCAACATTATAAATACGATTAGGAAAATGTAAGGAAACTCATATTAGTAAAGTTGAATAAAAAGTCCAAGAATAATTTCAATTTTCAATTAAAATTCTTTTATCATAAAATATAAGTTGAAAAAATATAAACTTACATTAAGATATATAAAAAACTCTTTTTTTTTAAATGTAGGTGAAATTATCTCAATAGGTTTTTGAATAAAAATCTGAAAGAGAAGAACATTTGACTAGAATAAGAAGAAAATTTCACTCCATATACATCCGCTTCTCATTTTTCAATCTTATCCCTGACAATAATACAAACTTTCTGTACACGCGATTTATGTGGATCGCATTTTGCAATGAGAAACTACTATTTCTGACTCATTTTGAAAAAAAAAAACCGTAAGTGCCTTTAGTTTCCCTATGGAATTAGTCGTTTCTTTTCAATGAGCTGGATGTTGTATTCCCTCATTACAAAATAAAGTCGGTTTATATAGTTTTAAAGCATTTTATCCAAATAATTTCGTGACTTTGTTGAGGTCTTGTGGGTTAAATTTAGTGATATCCGTTATTTGCTTCATCTGCTCTTGCATCACCGTGGAGATGGCAGCTACCTTCGCTTTAGCCTCCGGGCCCAGATCTTTGTAACTTGTCAGCAGTTTCTTGATGTATGCGCCCATATCGTTCTTGGTGGTTTCACCCATTTGTTCCAAACTCTTACTTTCAATATTTTCCGAAGTACACTCGCAAACAACCTAGAACAGTCATAAAGATAGTAAGTTATTTTTTTCCCCAACACTATTACGTGTGGCACTAGGAACCCAAAAAGGGTCACAGAAAAAAGTCTTGGGCGCTTTCCGTGTCTTAACTAAGTGATGTTTGGTTATTTAAAACCAAGCAATCAGCAAACAAAAAATAACAAAAATAAAATTTTAAAATACTCAAAGATAAAATAAGACGCTTAAGAATTCTTGAGCCTTGCCTAAAAATCATGGATTGACGCACGGTATGGGGGAGATGATCTGGAAGTTTAAGTTTTTAAAAGTAGGCCCGATCAGTGTGTAAGGAGAGTGTGGACATCTCAGACATGGAGCGCACTCTTTGGGCACAAAAAGGGCAAATAAACTCCTTACACGAAAAACACTAGAAAAATTCTACTTCCAAAATCTCTAGATTTCAAAATCAAACCAAAATGGCCAAGAATGTACATAAATGAGCGTCTCTCCGCGCAAATGGGTAAATCTATATGCAAGAACTAAGTCAAATACGAGCTTCACAAACGACGGGTGAACGACTTCACAAATCGTAAAACAAATTTCGCGGCCGCATAAACTATTTTGTCTCTCCTCTATCAACTGCTCAAAATTGAAGAATTGTTCACGAACCACTATTTTATAAACTATTCTATACACGGAATATTCCGTCACTAAAATTTTCCCGTCAAAATCATATTAACAAAATTCAAAATTTGTCTGTCATGCCATGCACGTTTTTTTGTTTAATCACACTTGATGAGATAAATAGGAATAAATTTAGTGCAAAAAACGGTCAAGAGAGGGATCAAACCTATTATACAGTAAAGAATTACATACCTGAAATGTAAGTAAACAAAAAAAAAAAAAAAAAATAACTCAACGACGAAAAAAAGAGGAACTGAGAGAAGTAGACGTTCTTTGTAGGGGGAAAAGAAGAGAGGACGTGGAGTAGGAAAATAATATACTTAAACATTTCTCAGAATTGATATTCTTTCGAATACTTATATGTCAAAACGTGCATGCGATGAAACTTTCTTTTTTATACCATTATTATAAGAAACTGTGTAGTACAAAAATAACAGAAATAATTTTTACATCGTTTCGCAATCAACGTGGCATAAAAAAAATTATGATCACCTTGTAAAGTAGATTTTTTTCACGAAAATAATTAAAGGGTTAAAGACTTACCATTGCTACAAAGGTTGCAAGGATGAGAAGGAGCAAGAAACTGCGGTTGAAAACCATGTTTGTATAGTAATTTGACGAATAAGTGGCTAATTCACAAAACCTGCGATACAGTATGTACAGTTCTGAGGCGGACAATGTTTTGACCGTTCATTAAGATCAATAATTTTGCCGACTACATTTATACGTACTTTTATCTCTTAACTATGACCCTCGAACAACAAGTTTCGTAATAAGCAAAACTATAAACGAGTATGTTCATTGTGTTGGTCTAAGAAATTGTCGCATTGGTTTACCGTTAAAATGGCTGTATTTAAAAAAAAAAAACCCGCCTTAATCATGATAGTGGAACATGTTTCCAGACTGTATCATCAAAGATATTATTTATAAATTAATTTATTTACCATATTTTTAAAAATTTTAATTCAGAAACTTGGCTTTGGTGTGTAACGTCAGCGCAAATTCAACTGCAGATAAACCATTCACGGGGGGTCAAGGCCCATTTAATCTCATGTCCGTCAATTAGTATCAATAAAAAATTGATTAAAAATATAATTAAGATATAAAATGACGTAAGACTATTTATGCACTATGCACCTTTGCAAGTAGCTTCCTCTTTGTGATAAATCCTCAATTTTCGGTGAAAACTGATGTGTAATAAAGACAGTGGATAAGCAGTTCTGTAGGAAAGCTTATGTTTATTTTCTTCACCTTCAACGCAAAATACCCCGTTATTATTCAAAAATTGCAAAAATAACTCATAATTAAAATATAGACGTGCAAAGTTTATATTACAAACAAAAAGTTCAAATTTCCCGTTCCTGAAAAAACCACGATCAATGTACACGTAATTAGGCATTGAAATCTACCTTACATATAAATGTTCGGCAGATAACGAGGGTTCCGTTGCACACAAATGTCATTCCTTTTCAGATAAGAGACCCCTTTAATCTATCAAAAAAAAAAAAAACAAGGAATTACACAGAGAAATTATTCCATTGCAAAATATACCGAAATTATTGTAGCTATATATTTAACTCAAGTAGACTCACAGCTGTTTTCCCCTTTTTTAAAATTGCAATACCTTTTTGTAACTTACTGGCGCTTTCTCATCCCCCTCCTTATACTACATATGTACCTCTCTCGAAAGAAAAAGTCGGGTCAGTTTCATCTACCTTGGGATTTCTAGGGGTAATCGTCAAAAAAAAAAAAATCCCTACCTGACACTCGCTAACCACTGGAAGAAAAGTACACATAACATAAAAACAGTAGAGCAACAATGTAAAAATTATTTTAGACATGAATGAATTCAAATACATACTGGTGCACGAGAAAATAAAGCGTATTTATCTTCGATTGCACTGTTACACGTCTATTTTCATGTTTTATTTTATTTCAGGGTTTTTCAAGAATATACTTACAGTTTTTCTGAAGAGTTTTCGGGGATTTTTAGGAATGATCTCAAGTAAAGTCATCAAATATTTCGACGCGATATTTCCGTTCGTCCTTTCTTTTATTAATGCAGCTAAATTAATTTTTCGTGTTCGAGTTTCTGAATTGTTGCAATAGCGATACATATTTTCCCTTTAATCAATCGTAAAAACCAGGCAAAGATTAGAAACGCCTAACTATTTTTTTTTTTTTTTTTTTTTTTTTTTTTTTTTTTTAATAATCAAAGAAAATGTCGACCCGATATTTTCGTTCATTCTAATGTCTGTATCATTTTCACCAACAAAAAAATTAAACTTCGTCCGAATTTCTGAATCCTTGCAATTAAGATTAGAGGCGGACTGGCTCCTCGAAGCGGCCGGGGAAAATTATATTTTGACCGGAAAACATACAAGATTGCAAAATCTCTACAATCCTGTGATCCGAGGATTGCAAGCTCGCGGTGTGCACTGTTCGGAAATTGTGTGCACCGGGGTAGGTTCGACACCAAGAAAATACGGCTTTTTCAACGACTTGAGCACGCACCGTGGTATACGCGCAATGCATGAAGTATCCTGCAGACTTGTAAGGCGCTGTAATATGCGTGGCGCGCACCGTGCTGTTTGGGTAATGCATGAAGTATCCTGCGGTCTTGTGAGGCGCTACTATGTTTTTCGCGCCGTGCGCACCAGCCCTGCGCGGCCGGCCGCACTGTGTTTGAAGTGATTATTCAAACTTGCGGCATCAGCGGCTTACAACTTATAATAATGTTTCTGTAAAGTTTGTTGGAATTACTGTTATTTCAAATGATCGAATGAGACGTGTTGTGTTTTTCCATGAACTCCCGGGTGAACTGGGCCGTGTGGGGGCTGCGTATTGTCATGATGAAAAATCCATGTTTCTTTGATATACGGTATTTTTTTACAAATGTGCTGCCGTAGTGTTGTCAAGACCTAGCAGCAGTATTCTTTGTTCACTGTTTGGTTTGCAGGTACAAAATATCGATACACCAATTCCTGATGATCGATCCTTCAATTTTATTTTGTAGCTAAAAATCCTGGAGGCGGTAACGCTACATGTCATTTTCAAAACCCTGTATCCTCGTCATTTTTTAAGCTAGAGAGCTGTTCTTGGACTTGTGCTATTAGTAATTACGTTTACTTTAAGCACACATAAAACGCAAATCGATAGCTGCTCTCGTTCGCTCAAAACCTGGAAATGTGCAAAACTTTTTGAAGCTACTTTTACTCGTAAGCTCCTTCGTTAATCAGCAATGTAATGACGTGATTATTGGAACTAGATTTTGCTTTTCGGAACTTCAATTTCTGATCAGATGTAGAAACTCTTGAGTGCATAAGGAAAATAACGATACATTCGATGTTCCTAAACGAAATCAGACATTGTGGTTCCTAATTTCAAAACGAGGACCATTTGATCAATAAACCCTTTCGAACCATAGGTAATGGATTAGACAAAGCGGAGGTCATGGATTTGATCGATCAAAAAGTAAAAACGTGTACTGATCGAAAAACTGGGGAATCGATCGAATCGACGTCGGTTTTTTAATAATTAGTGTCTATCGGTTCTCGGACATCGATCACAAAAAAAAAAAAAAAAAAAAAAAAAAAAAAAAAAAAAAAAAAAATCCGACAAAAATGTACCCAACAACGGTTTGCAGGGGGTGAGTCTATGGCACGTGTGGACTTAAAATCGCGGAAAATCAAAATCCTGGCTGATCCTACTTTCGAGATACCACAATTTGAAATTTTCAAAGTGAATGCAAGTTTTCTACTGATTTTGATCAGCTTTTTTATTTATTTGTCCATTAAATCTGTGTTGATCTATTCAAATTCTTACTCTTCGTTCGATTCCTTTCGATCGAATACATACCTTTTCGTTACACGCAGACTTCCTATCACACTCCTTTTTCCAACTGAACAATTCGCCTCCCGCTGCATCTGCAGCAATTGTTGTTACGAATATGTTGTGCGTGCTGATTATAGCTGATTACATGCTCGACTCTCTGAAGGCGTTTTTTGTGTTAAAGGAGCGCAGTCTATCGGAGAACAAACGAAGTAGAATAAATTCCTTCAATCTCACTTCTGTTGTTCTCCAACAGGGTGCTCTACTTTCGCACATTAAACGCCTTCGAAGAGTCAAGTATGTAATCAGCCGAGATCAGCACGCACAACATATTCACAACAACAATTGCTGCGGACGCATTTGAAGACGAATTGGAAACAACATCGAAACAACAAATTTATAGAGGAACTTTTTAGGACTGAAAATTTGTATCGCGGTATATTTTATTTTGCATTTAAACTCTGTTTCTGTTTTAGTTTATACATTAATAAAAGAAATTACACATCGAGTAACAAGGCTAATTGTCACGTAAATAGCACCAAAACGTTTCGGCTGAAAAGTCAGTCTTCTTCCGTTGGATAAAACAGTAAAAAATTGTACAAATCTAAAAATGCTGAACTTGACTGTATCTTTGAAAGCGAAAAGTCTGTTGTTATGCGATCTGAGAGGTAACTATTCTCTCCGAAGTGACAAGTATTTTCTCCAGAGAGAATATTCAAACAGAGGCCAGAGATAATTTTCTAGAAAACTATTCTCTCCGGAGAGAAAACTATCCTCTTCGGAGAGACACTTATTCTCTCCGAAGTGACAAATATTTTCTCCAGAGAAAATATTCTCTCGGGAGGGACAATTATTATTCCCTCCAGAGTGATAACTATCCTGCCCGGAGAGTTATCTCTCTTCAGTAAATTCGTTATTCGTTCGAAATTAGTTTTCTCTGAGAGAATAGTTGTCTCTCTAGAGAAAATACTTTTCTCTCTCAAGGAAATAGTTTTCTCTCCCGAGAAGATACTTTTCTTTCCCGAGAGAAAATTGCATAACAGTGTTGTGTTCGCTTTGAAAAGTACAGGCAAGTAGTACTTTTTTAGATTTTTATAACTTGTTATTGTTTTTCCAACTGAAGAATACTGACTTTTCAGCCGAAACGTTTTGGTGATATTTACGTGAAAATTAGCCTTGTTATCCGCTGTGTAATTTGTTTAATTATTGTATAACTTGTCACGTTCTGCGGATAATCAATCATAACTCATGTTTTAGTTAATGTTGAAATTGTTTTCCAGAATCCCTCATGAAATGACCATAAAATAAAATTCTCTATTGGTAACAATTTACAATTAAAGAGATAAATGGTTTTCAACGTGTTTTGTGCGGCTGTTTTCAATGCGCCTTCAGCTCCGTCTACAGCAATTGTTGTTACGAATATACTATGCGTGCTAATCTCGGCTGATTACATACTTGACTCTTCGAAGGCGTTTAATGTGCGAAAGTAGAGCACCCTGTTGGAGGACAACAGAAGTGAGATTGAGGGAATTTATTAATCCCTACTTCGTTCGTTCTCCGACAGATCGCGCTCCTTGTGCACAAAAAACGCCTTCAGCGAGTCGAGTATGTAATCAGCTATAATCAGCGCGCACAACATATTCGTAACAACAATTGCTGCAGACGCAGCAGAAGGCGAATTGTTCAGTTTAAAAAAAAGAGTATGATAAGAAGTCTGCGTGTAACGAAAGGGTATGTATTCGATCGAAAGGAATCGAACAAAGAGTGAAAACGTGAATCGATCAACACACAGATTCAATGGACAAATATATAAAATTGCTGATCAAAATCCGTGGAAAACCAACATTTACTTTGAAAATTTCAAATTGCGGTATCTCAAAAGTAGGATCAGCCAGGATTTTGATTTTTTACGATATTAAGTCCACACGTACCATAGACTCACCCCTGCAAACAGTTTTTGGGTACATTTTTGTCGCATTTTTTTTGTTGTTTTTTTGTTTGTTTTGCTTTTAGACCACGAAGCGTTAAGGCGGTAAAGATTTGAAAGTTTATTATTGTAACTTTTCCTGCCAATTTTTCACTCTCAATTATATTGTCACTGTTGTCATAAGTAGCACTGTATCATAATATCATTTTACAAGTGTTTCCATAATTAATTATATAAATATGTGATTTTCTTCTGATAGTTTACTAAAAATCTTGAATTTTTGAAAATAATATAAAATACCAATTTCAGCAAAGAACGTCACGCTAACGCAACTGCAATCAACAACTTTTTTTTTTTTTTTTTTTTTTTTTTTCAAAATGGTTATTAATTGGAACACATTATAAGTAATCTTAATCTTGCCTTTTTAAAATTTCAAAAATGATAAACTCCCCAACTCGCACTGATGACAGCGCGAAGATACGAGTATTCGCGCTGAGAGAATGTCCGCGTTGCATCTTCCAAATTGAAGGCGCGAGGCGTGAACTAGCAATGCTCCGCTCCACGCTGCCAATGAAACATTGCTTCAGATTCGGGAGAAAAGTTTTAAAAAGAGGCCAAAATACGTCTCTATCTCCTATCTTGGACTGTGATGTATTAGATTTTTGTTTCCTTTTTTTCAATTTGTCGTCTGAATAGTTTTTTAAGATATATTCGTACACCTATATCTAAAGCTTGTATTCACTGGTCCCATGACTCCTTCAGAAGAGATAAGGTCAATTTGACTCAGCATGAGATTTCTAGGGGTAGTTTTGTCAGAAAAAATTCCCCACCTGACACTCAATTTTTACTTTTTTTCAAATTGACGCCCGATTCTTTTCTTACGATGTATTTGTAGACCAACGTCTTAAGCACCGGTCCCATTAAACCCACGGGGTATGTGTTTCTAGCAAGCCTTGGGTAGACCCGGCTTGGGTATCTGAGAGTTAACTATCAACGTTTAACCACCCTGCTTCTGAGAGTTAACTTACAACGTTTAACCACCTTGCCTCTACTCAAAAAGTCAAGCGTATTGAGTTTTTCATAAGTCATGGACATTTTTTACGTATTTTTCCAACAATATGAAATTCTTTATTTATTAGAATGGATCTAATATCCTAAGAGAGCATGGAAGGCAAGTAGGTGAAGAATAAATGGATTGCATTTTGCAAAAAGGAACCACTAGCATTGCAATGATGCTAAGATTTTGCAACTTCATCTTTTGCTATAAAATTGCGGAAATCGTGAAAAACTATTAAATTTAGATGGTAATTTTTGTCTTAAATTTACAGTTTTTAGAGAGTAAAATAGAAACTATTAATGGATAATCGGGTTTTTCCTCCAATGCAAAAAAAGTTGCACAATCTTAGCATCATTGTAATGCTAGTGGTTCCTTTTTGCAAAATGCAATCCAAATCATGTAAGGTAGAAGGTTGGAGGGGGTTATTGAATTGAGGAAAGAACATTAATGAACTTCATTTATGAACTCCTTAACTTAAGTCTCCAGTGAGTTTCAGTTTTTTTTCTAATTATGCTCAAAAAATACGGAGATTTATAGAGATCACAATTTGTCCAGCATTCATTCAAGTTGAGTGACCTCCATGCGTTAGTCATAGACTATTCAGCATTGATGTCATTCGAATTGAAACACCATTATCTGCTTTCAAAAGAACTTTGAAATTTTTTCTCACAACCCCAGACTGATTTATTGATCACAATAGTGTATAATCGAAAAAATCAATGCTTTCACCCAGAGGAAATGGACTGCTTCGATGCCGATCCTTTGCCACGTTTTGCGAGGAAGGCGCACTTTAATATTGATACATTGAATGGTACAGTCACTAAATCATTCAGCCAAATTAGGCAAGTATGGACGCGCATAATTGGGTACTATTTTTTTAGATCAGTATGACATCTGTCCGCAAGGTCGTACTGTATCGAAGAAAATTGCATCTTGCGCAAGTTCACAATGGTACCGACTCCTTGCATATTTCAATGATTTTCTGAGTTCAACAGCATCAAATATGTAATGCTCTAGCTTGTTCGAATAAACATATCGACGCGACGTAAGACTCACAAACACGTATTCTGGCTTGCGACGTGCAGACTTCCTGTAATACTTCATTTTTTAATGGAAAAACTGCTTAACGTTAATTTTGAAAAACCTCCGTGATTTTTCTTCTCCGTGCTGTAGGGGACATTCTGAAAAAACTTCAAGAAATTGTGTTAATTTGCTCTTTCAAAAAAATATACTTGAAGCAGAGATTTTTAAAAACACAAACGAGATACCTAAGTAGTTTATGAGGTTCACCGTTGACATATACTGTAAAAAAATCTCCTACCGTAAAACTCTCGTAATTACGGGCCACATAGACTTATCGTACGCTCCGGGCTCACCGCAAGTTCTGCTTGCTCAAGCCTTAGCTTTTACTGCTCACAGCCGCTACACCGGAAACTTTCGACCAGTGAGCCCGGGACGGACGGTATTTCTATAGAGTGGAACTATGGCTTTCAAAGCGGTGGTTTTTTTCAGGGTGAAAAATTTGTTTGCAGGACACTTTTTCAAGTACCTATGTAGGATGAAGTTACAGAATGTCTTCTTGTAAAATCTACGATGAAACGCCCAAACAACGTATCTCGTATGCCATGTTTTAAAATCTCCGCTTAATTTTTTTTTTTTTTTTTTTTTTTTAAAGGGGACAAATCAATGTCATTCCATCCAATTTTCACGGAATTTTCCTCAAACAGAGCAAAAATATCACGGAAATTTTCAAGAATTGACGTTGAATAGTTTTCCAAATAAAACATATATTATATCAGGAAGTCTGCAACGTCCAAAATCGAGATACGTGGTCGAAGAGTTTCACCATCGATATTCTCCTGAGACCCATTCATTGTAATGACTTGAATGTCATCATTTCATTGACTGTAGAGACTTGAATGTCATCATTTCATTCATTGTAAAGACTTGAATGTCATCATTTCATTCATTGTTGACACAGAGGTTAACAAAATGTATAAAAACAAAAGGAAGACTTCCTGAACTGGGTTTTTAGCTTTATTTATTCAGTTTGAGGTTTGATATTTTACAACGGTAAGTGGTACTACATGCAAAATTGTAAATCAAGTGGAATCTTTGTATTATTTGATAATATTAATAAGAGGTATAATATTAATATTTTGATGAAATCAATTACGAACGAACATAGCTTTTTTATTTTTAATTTCCGAATGATTTGGATGTATGATATTTTCTAAATTTATAGTCATCACCAACTGGTCATCGGAAATTCATTTCAGTCAAGCAAATAAATACCATGGTCAGATAAGGTACAGTATTGTCCATTTAGTTTTGATTTACGACAAGAAATGATGCCAAACTAAGAATGTAACTTGATTGATATCAGTGTATTTTGGTTCTATTTAATTCGTACTTAAAATAATTTATTTCACATACATTCAAATTTATGGCAACAAGTAAGTCTTTCCTGAAAAATTGATTTTTTTCTCATTACCTTTCTAAAGTCTGGAAGAAGGTGGTATTTTCCTCTCATCGTAATGAGAACTTTTACAATCTAAATTTCCACACCATGCGATTACAATCAAAACTTGGAGGGTTCTTTTATACTCACTTACACTTATTTTTGATGTGTGAGATCCATCGTTAGATTTTGATTAAATTCTTTAAAGCAACAGAAAAATTGCAATAAAAAAACATCTTGTAGTTTTTGATGACTCCTCCTGAAATCTATTTGTTCTTTTACACATTTGAAATCCGTAGGGCGAGCCGAAGCAAACATACTTAACAGATCACGTAAATTCACACCTTGAGTAGCGCAAAGTTATGTCGGCAGTATCTCTGACAAGAGGGGGTGCCGTTTGAGACTCCGTCTTCCATCACAGGATAAATGGGGTCACAAATTCTCTCCGCAAGTATCATTGTAACATCTTTGGATGTGCTGGTAACAACTGTCCCATGAAAGTGATATCTGCAAAAGTTGAGGGGAACTTAAAAGAAAGAGCTAAAAGCATAGTTTTCTTCAAACTTTTGTGAGTTAAACTCTTTGCGAAGAAGCCTCATATTGACGAAAAGTTTGTATATCAACTCCTGAACGAGGTACTAACGAGTGGTTTTGACACAGATCAAATATGGAAGTTGGATTATACAAATTACGTAATTCGAATTTTTGCCATTTGACCAATGGCAATACTGAATACTTGTATCCTGCTCAGGAGTTGATTTTCAGATTTCCCTTCATGTGACTCGTTTTCCGCCTAAAATTTTGAGAAGTAAACATGCATTTTATACTACAAAATGCTTTAATTCATAGTTTACCTAATCGCCCACTAGGTAATCGAAGCATTCAAAATTCAAAATCTTCAAAAAAAGAAGAAAAAAAAAACTCTGCAAAGTCTTTCAAAATTTCAATCAATTATCAAAAGTCAGGATTTTGCTCCCTGACTGAAGTATTTTCTGATCAATTATGCTACGGCATCAGACAAATTGTGCCTTTAGGTAGGCTCTCCTTCAAGCTGGCTAAAATAAATCATACCTACTGAACAAGCAAACAGCAGGTCTTACGTCCAGAGAGCCCGCATTACACATTCTCCACCCTTATTTCCAAAAATCCTAAATCCGGTTCAAAACCAAGCATTCCTCATTCTCGTGTGTGTCGGGTGGGGGTGGCTCTGTCTGTCCTTGTCTCGCACATGCAGGCAGAAGTTGCCGTAATTTTGTTTTCACCCCGCTTTCGAAGCAAAACGAATTCAGCTTTGCCGTTCGATGGGTCAGTTGCGCTGGTCTCAAAATCATGTTTTAATCATTGATTCCCGTAGATTAGCTAAGAATATACTGAGATCCGTCCAAACAGAACCTTTGTAAGTTCAACATTAACCGAGATATCGCGCTTCGAAAAATGCGGTTTATGACATCATCCACCGCGGAAGTGCCACCCTTGGTTTCTTCAGTCTGGGAGACATAAACTTGCCCACTTAATTCAACGTGAGATTCGGATAAAAGCAAGGTGGAAGAAACCAAGGATGTCACCACCGCGGTAGATGACGCCATAAACCAAATTTTTCAAAGCGCGATATCTCGCTTAATTTTAAACGTAGAAAGTTGCTGTTTGGACAGATCTTCTTATTTTTAGCCTAGGCATTAAAATACACTTATTTGACCAGCGCAATCGAATCGGGACACGTGTGCGAAACCGCTAGTGTCCATTTTCCGAGTCTTCAGTTTTTTTGAGTTGACAATACTTTTTGGAGTTGCATGCAACCACAAACGTGGTTTTGACATACTCGTCTCCTGGTTATACTTTAATCCCAAAACGAGTCCCTTCATCACTTTAATGGTTGTATCGACTCTTTAAAAGTATTATCAACTTACAAAAACTGAAGACTGGAAAAATGCACTTTAGCGGTTCTCGTTCGTCCCGATGCAATTGACCTGTTTATCTGTCTCTGATTTTAAGGGGAAATACACGGGGGAAAAAGTGTCAGGGGTTATCCCCCAAAATTGTTCTACTACCCAAATTTGTTGGGTGAATGGACTACATTTTGCAATTTGGAACTATAAATTGTAGCCCGGTTTAAAAACAACGTATGTGTCATTAGTCTCCCTATGCACATAAGTGTTTTCCCAGAAGAGCCAGAATTTATAGTTTCAAATTGCAAAATGCAGTCTAAATGGACATTTCCAATTAATTTTGGTAGCACCACAACTCAAGTTGGGGTAGTACCGCAACATTTGGGTTAGTTACCTAATTTATCGGGATACTATACCACAATTGATCGGGGTACTACCAAAATTAGGTGGGAATGTCTATATAATCCAACAGTTGGGACATAACCTCTACTCCTTTTTTTCCGTGTACAGAACGGATTTCATAAACTCACCAACACGATTTCACATCAGTAGCGGAAAGTGGACCTCCTCCGCCTCTTATTAACCAAGCCGGCATCCTTGAGGAGCATGTAAATCTTATGCCTGGGGATCTTCTCAGCCTCCCGGTCGACGACGTGTTGCTCGCCGGGGGTGAACCAGCTGTTCTTGGCGAGGGCCTCGGCCACTCGAGGGTTCTTGTAGAACGGGTTGCGGAGCTCCGAGGGCAGGAGCGCCTCGTTCTCCGAGTTGACGAGCACCGCGCGGTGGGCGTAGCGCCGGTTGCCTATCTCGACAGGCGCTGCGAAGTTGTTACGCGGGAAGACCGCTGCCGGCACTTGCTGCTGCACCGGTGGTGGCGGCTGGATCGCGAACGAGAGACCGCCCTGCCCGACGCCTAGCTGCGCCGTGACGCAACCCACAATGCTCAGCAGTAGCACCAGGAGTGGAGCCATTACTTCTGGAAAATAGAGACATGATTGGAGCGTTCGTTAGAGGAGAGAAATAACTCATAGATAATTAAAACCTACGGATACCGGTGATTTAAAATTATATTTTGCCCTTTGCATAACATAAAATAAATTAAATAATGAATCATTCATTTTAACGACCAAAACAACGGAACTCTTACACGGCACGAGGATTTGCGACATCGTCAATTTTTTTACGTGAAATTTTGCGAAAAGCACGACAGGGTCTCTGGTTTTCTCTGAAACGGACTCCCGAGCTGAAAAATTGAGTCTTCAATTGAAAAAATCCTAAAAGTTATGAGAAAACCTACCTCTATATGCAGGTAAACTCATATTTTGCACCGACAGGAAGCATTACATTAGGAGGATTGCCGTAATCAAGATGAAAAACTACCATTTTAATCCTAAAAGTCCGGTTCCCTCACAAAGAGGAAACATACGGTTTGTGTATTAGTTTCCTATCCGTGCACAGGGATTTTGACTAATTATGAAAGCAGCCTTTCTCATAACGCATGGGATCCCTTCAATACTTACTTCGACTTTGAGGGCTTTTCGGAGCATGGAAGCTCATTTCAGATAAAAACGGTATGGTACGATCATTTTTTTCACATAATCAGGTATTTTTCATGCGCATGATATGATACCCCCAAGAGAGAAACATGGCATATGAGCTATCTTAGTGAATCCCACATCATTCAATATGTTTTTGAAAGGGCAATGTATCGGTCAATATCGGACGTAGTAAATGGCTCTTTGAAAAATTCATATCAAGTGCTCTTTTAAATCCTGTTTTCCTCATACCAAAACCACACATATCAAGATAGTACTTTCCACGGAGAAAAAACTTTGGTTTACGAGAGAGATTAAATGTGTCGGCCCAAGTAAAGTTTTTGGTCATAGAAACCGAGCTTCGATTCCGGTAACCAAAGTTTGCGTTAGCCACACCGTAAGATCATGAATTATTTGCAAAAGCCCTGGTTATCTGGGTGGAAGTTTGACAGCAAAATTTGGTCATCAGCACCAAAAATTTTGATTACTCAGTCCAAGGGCTTTGAGGCGCCATTTGGCGGAAGGTTTTTTTGGTGAGCACATTCGAGGCCATTGAACCTATTTGGAGCCACAGTCACAGTCACAGTCACAGTCACAAACACAGCTAGTGCTGTTTACAGGGCACTCTGCCCACTGGGCTCCCGAACTTTATTTGTTAGGGCTACAGGAAGTTTTGCAAATATATAATAGGGAACTACGAGTTAGTTAAGTTCACAAACCGCCTCGCGGTCCAACCCAGGCGCCATGCAGGCACCAGGCTTCGAGAGTTATGCGCTGTGTGTTACTCTTGGGATTTCATAATACAGGGTGATCCAGGGTTAAACGGCTAAACTGCAGGAGCCGAAAAACCCCCAAACCCCTCTTTAAATTGAGATTTCGATTTTTTTAGATCATTTATGAATTCAGGGCATGAAAGTACAGGGAATTACACATTTTCATGAGATTTGGTTCAGAGCCGTTGCCAAAATTTAAGAAAAATTATTTATTTTCCGAAATGGGGGGGGGGGGTAGTTCCAACGGAGGGCATTTTCGGGAAAAAAAACTTCATGTAACAAAAAAGTCTTGTTTTGACCCATAGAACACGTTCCTGCAGTCTGGCCGTTTCACCCTGGATCACCCTGTAGAGTAAGCTAGGGACAGAGTACTCTATGCTCACTACCGAAGTTCTATTCTCATGACAGGAGCATTTTGTAAACATAGTAAAAAAGTTCGGGGGCGCCATGCACATAGTGTTCTATTATCAGCACCAAATATTTTTTTGTGCGGCATGGACGAGTTTTCGGCTGGTTCGGCACCCGATCGTGCTTGAGGAGCTTGGGATAATTTCCCTCTAATCGTACCTGGGATGAAGCTTCCTGGAGGCGCGCGAGGGGCGGGGGTGGGGGTGGGGGGCGCCGGGTCGGACACGGAATCACTGGGGCGTGGGGCGTCGGGTCCGGGTCCACTGGACACCACGCTGAACGTCACGTTAACTGGGCAAGATCCGTCGGAGATGGAAATTGAGCAACTACTGATTGTGAGAGGACTCCGGGTCGCGCGTCGTCGGCCCCGCGCCGCGCCCGGGCGCCCGGTGAAGGCGGGAATCGCTACCCGCTGCCCTCGACGGACGCGGCCCCCAGCCGCGGAATCCCCGCGCGCCAAGGCTCCCGCTCCCCAAGTTGCCAAATCACCCGAATACCCACTCAAAATCCCATCAAAATGAAGCTCTTCAATTTTGAGTACCTATATACTGAAGAGTATTGCCATCTCAATCCCTTTACTGCAGAAAAAGTGTGCAGCTCTCCAACATAGAGTACGTAGAGTCGTAATATAAGTGGGTGAGCTGGCGCCACTTTTAAGCATTTTCCAGGTCCCGAATTCCGAGACTCCTGTGTGACGCCGGGTCACTTTTTCGATACATAATCGATTGTTTGCGATACACGGGTACCCGGCCATCCGATGTAAACGAGGAAGATAGGGATCACCACGTATTCCGCACCGCCATCTTGGATCGAACTTGTATCGAAAAAGTGACCCAAACTCGGCGCGCAACGGGCTCGAAACTCGTCGAGCAGAACATGGCGCCAGCTCTCCCATTTACATTACGACTCTATGTACTCTATGCTCTCTAATAGGTCTGCTATCCTGGAGCCCCGAAATTGGACCAATGTGAACAAACCCTAGCCCCTCCGCTCCTAGTTTGGCCCAATGTAAACAAACAAGATGGCGACAAAGTGCTACAAAGTTAGACGTGCTTTTGGATGCGATAGAATTTTTTTTATGATCAACCCCTGAATTGAGTTCGTATCGACCTTTAATGGATATTTTTGCCGAAAATTAACCTTTGAGTGTGATTATCATTCATTTCTCAGCCGATAATACGTACTCCGCTGGGTCGGGTTTGGTTACATTGGTCCAACTTTAGAACGGATTTAGAAAATGGTGCTATGCGTACTAGTACAAGCAAACGTTCTCATGTTATGACTGAAAAACCGATTTCGGGGCACTTATCTCCCCCTCCCCTCCGCCAAACCCAAAGTCGTCACGCTATGGATGAGGACTTTTTTCGGGGGACTCAGGGGGTCACAAGGATTAACTATGCCAAAAATCATCAGTTTGTTCTTAATTTGTTCCCTTAACTTTCGTATAATTCCTGGACAACAGGGTCATCAAACATGTTGATGGTAGCATTTCTCCAAAAATCTTGTTATTTCTCCGCTTGAAGTCGCGCGGACGATCCCTCATACCTCGCTCAGTTGTTCCGGCCCCAAGCCATGCGCCACCTTGCTCAAATGTCCCGCTTCCATGATCGAGGATGGAAACAATGAAGCGATTAACGGGGCGACGGTTGAAGCGACGACATGTCGGATCCAAGCTCAAGGAACTCTGGGGGTCGCCGCGATGGTGACAATGGTGACATAGCATACCGACGCCGACGCCGACGCTGGTCTGACCGGAATCAGGATGAAGAGCAAGAATCTTGGTTGGCGTGTGTAACAATTATAACACTGATCATGACAATGAAACGCGCGGAAACTCGCTCACACGCCCGCCCGTCCGCCCGCACGCGTCACCGCGCTTGTCAGCCCCCCCCCTCCCCCCAGCACTGTCACGTACGACGCCCCNCGCCAGGCGCCAGACTAGATATAGATAAGCGTTTTTTTTTTTTTTTTACCTTGTCAATTTTTCTTCGACGTCCTGTTAAAAATCTAAGAGTGCAATGGGTCAGTTGCAATGGTCACAGAATCGTGTCTTGATGATTGATACGTGTAAATTAGCTTAAAATAATACGATCTGTTCACACAGCAACTTTCTCCGTTCGATATTAGCTAAGGTATCGCCCTTTGAAAAGTCGGGTTTTTGACGTTATCCACCGCGGTAGTGACACCCTTGGTTTCGTCCACCTTGCTGTCATCAGTCGGTGTGACGCACGTTTACGCTGGTTATTCAACGTGAAACTTGGATGAAAGCAAGGTGGAAGAAACCAATGGTGTTACTGCCGCGGTGGATGACGTCAAAAACCCGACTTTTCAAAGGGCATAATAATTGGGTCAATGTTGAACGTAGGAAGTTGCTGTTTGGACGGATCTTATTATTTTTATCTAATTCACAACAATCAAGCAACAAAACACAATTCTGTGACCAGCGCAACTGACCCATTTAGAAAGCATTTCACCAAGAACCTGCAGGCTACAAGAGGGCACGAAGTATGGCCGATGAATCAGCGAACCTGGGAGGTTTTAGAGAAAACAGATGTAAATTATTTGGTATGGATCATCTGGTATTGCAGGAAAAAATCACGTCCGGAATGGAGTGATGTGAAAGATCATAGATGCCAATCATATCATCGTCTGAAGTTCGCCTTCAATTTTTCCGTATAGGCAAGAAACATACCGGGGAGCGCGAATAGTTTTATCTATTCGAAAAACGCACATTGATATCGCCTCATGAAGTTTGAAAAACCAATGTAATGAGAGGACGAATCTTTACTTTTTATCCTCAACGCTGCCGCGAGCTTCATAACAATATTGGCTCAATATTGAAAAGTAAGCCCTCGGCTATAGTCACGTTCACATGTGTGTAAAATATGTGACTGAGATGTATCTACACAATCTCGACATAGAGGTAAAATTTAAAGATGTGTGGAAAAATGAATCACTTTACCGTTGAAAGTCTAAATACTTATTTTTTTTTTTTTTTTTTTTTTTTTTTTTTTTTACTCCTTCAAATACCACACAAGTGGTAATCCTTGCGCTTCCAGTTAGAGCCCCTCCCCCCTCCGTCCCTACCATGTACCAGCCCCAGGCAACCGTTGTTTGAGACCATCAAACTCGGGTCGCCTACCCGGGAATCGAACCCGGGACCTCCTGATTGTAGAGCCAGCGCTACAACCACTACACCACAGGAGGCCGACAAAACACACTTATACTTACGACACTTATACAGAATTTTTAGATGAGATTTTTCGGAAAAATAAAAAAAAAGTGAACAATATCGACAAAACGCCCCTAAATCCTTTTTCAAGGGTAACGATCTTAATTTTAATCCAAAAAATGATACTTTACGGGAAAAAAATATTTAAGATCAACTTTTTATGTTTGAAAAAAATACAGAATATTTGCAGAGTTTAAGATTAAAGAAGGGATTTCATAAAAAAATTGGAGGGCCGCATAGTAAATCGAATCAATCAGAGAGGTCAGACATGCAATTTTTAACCAAAACTGCAAATTTTAATGTTAATTCCGTCACATGATAAATTTTAACGGGTGCTTCTAGAATATAATTTCACGAGGTAACCATTAGAACCACTTTTAAAACCTCAGAGTTTTAGTTATAAGCATTTAAAGTTTCCAAATTTTGTCCAACCACTCCCATCGACTCGATACATTGTGGGCCGTAGCTCCGAGGATAGGTATTTCTGAAAAATAAAATTATGCGAAAAGAAAATATCATAAAAACCCAAAAAATGGAACCATGAAGTATTGTCCGCCGACCCTGCGACACCCTGTATTCCATAGCATAGATAAAGCTGCATGTCTTGTCTGATATCGCCGACATAGCAAGGAATATACATTCGGTACCAACAATCGGCCCGCAGGACCCCATACAGCAATACCTTTTCGAACAATCTGACATTCATACTACGAAATATGATGGAAGGAAAACAAACGATATGAAACTGACCTCACTTGACCTTGCACGTTGACGCTAGTATTGTAAGCTCTTGACAAGAAGACACAAACTGACGTCATCGACCCCGACCTAAAAGATCCCACCTCTCTGCCTCCTTGCTTGCACCTTCCCTTGTCCCTCGGAACATCACGACAGGCCAACTCAATCGATGTTAAGTCTAGGGTTTTTTTTCGAGAGGAAGAACTTTTGAAGAGGAGGCGAACTTGTCGTTCGGCATCGGCGAATCCAGTGAATTGGCAACAATGTTTTTCTGCATTTAAACCTGTGGAAATGTATCGATTCTTGGAGAGGCCAGGTGCTCCGACAAGAATCGATTTTTTAACATAGGTTTAAATGGAGATAATCCGGTGTTGCCAAATTGCTTGGTCCGCCTCTGTCGTTCGGAACGTTTTATATATTATCAAAACCGAAATGGAAGTCAGATAAAAGTTGATTGAAATTTGATGAAAATCAAATGAAACTTTTACGCTAATGGAACTAAACATGAGTTTAAGCTCTTGCGCGATATAAGAGGTAGAAAATCTTGGTCATGACATGCTGGTTTAAAGGCGATTAGCTCATCTACAGACCTGCAGTTCAAGTGTAACGTAATGCATTTCGGTCGACCTGTTAACCCCCTTCTTCCATGCACAGCATCCGTACAATAACCTATTGTCGTACCTATAAAATCATGTATGACTACCATCCCCTCCAATTTGTTCAGGAAATGACGGGAAAGTTCGCAAAATTATTTTTATCAGAAAATATTGATTTTTTTTTATAAAGTTAGCTCCTCAAGCAATTTCAGATGAAGCAATAAAAAATAAGCATGCAAATTCTCCATTTAATGGGATATGAAGTAAATTTAAGGGGGTACGAAGTTAATAATTTCAAGGGAAGGGGGCTAGCAGTAATAGTCAGTCGGGTGAGATTTACTCAGGGGGTGGATGATCTGCTCTAGGACGGCACTTATTGTTAGCTCTTTGGAGTGCCTGTGCCGCCTTGCCACCTCTCCAGTGGCCCTGAAGGGCAGCAGGGGCCAATTTGCGGACAATTTGTTTACATTGTACTCCAGGCGAGTCTCCTCGTGGTGAAAGCTACCGGTGCTTTCTCCGTCTCCCGGCGACCGTGGCGCTGCCCCAGTGACGTGGTCTGACTTCCAAACGACGGAAACGAGACGCATCCAGTTACGCCGCTATTATGCGCTACCCACTTGCTGTGATGTAATCAGCACGCATGAACCCAAACCATGTTACGCGGCCAGGTTGCCGCATCTCTCCAAAACGTTTCTTTTTTTTCAGATTTAAATCAACGTGTGGTAGCGACGGATCCAAGGACTGCTCAAAGAGGGGAGAATTTGGTGATGTGGAGTGTGGAGCAGAAGCAGTGGCGTGGCGTGCTTTGCGATATAT